ATGAACACCTCAAACATAACTCTAAGAGGAAGAAGAAACAAGACAAAGGTTCCAAAAACATTAATTCCATTGTCATCATCATTTCCGTTTCTCAGTCCTCCTTATGGTCTGCGACAAAAAGGCAGTGTCGTATTCCACTGGTCATCCTTCCCGATGTCTCCTCTGACCAGATGGGTGGCTCAAGAATCTTTGCTGGCGAGTGGCTGTGAGAGATGTATCCCAATATAGCCTCACAGATCTCTGCACACCCCGGCGGCCATTGTTAATGACATCATCATGGTGTCCTTCCCAAGCAAAGGCGCTGGGTTCCTATGACAAGGGGTGGCTGAGACAACTGTTGTGTACTGGCTCCTGATTCTGGTGCCCTCTTCCACATTGTTGATTGTGTGAGGTCTGCAGGGTGTCTCTTTGGGAAGTTCTGACTGATGATGCACACTAATGAGCAGAGTCAGGGGTGTTGGGTCCTCAATTGTGGCAGTTGTAACTCACTCAGTGAATCTCGATATGGACCTGCAAATAGGAAAATAACAAACACATTGGTAAAGACAATTAGCTAAATTTGTAAATCTGGCATTGGTAAATGTATGAAAACAAGAAATGACTCTACACCAAGCATGATGTGTCAAAGTGGACCAATGCTGGCATTAAAGATGGCATTGAATGAGCTGTATAAGGCCATAAATCAACAGGAAAACGCTCATCCAGATGCAGCGCTCCTAGTGGCCGGGGACTTTAATGCAAGGAAACTTAAATCCGTTGTACCTAATTTCTACCAGCATGTTAAATGTGCAACCAGAGGAAAAAAAACTCTAGACCACCTTTACTCCACACACAGAGACGCATACAAAGCTCTCCCTCGCCCTCCATTTGGCAAATCTGACCATAACTCTATCCTCCTGATTCCTGCTTATAAGCAAAAACTAAAGCAGGAAGCACCAGTGACTCGGTTAATAAAAAAGTGGTCAGATGACACAGATGCTAAGCTACAGGACTGTTTTGCTAGCACAGACTGGAACATGTTCCGGGATTCTTCAGATAGCATTGAGGAGTACACCACATCAGTCACTGGCTTCATCAATAAGTGCATCGATGATGTCGTCCCCACAGTGACCGTACGTACATACCCCAACCAGAAGCCATGGATTACAGGAAACATCCGCACTGAGCTAAAGGGTAGAGCTGCCGCTTTCAAGGAGCGGGACTCTAACCCGGACGCTTATAAGAAATCCTGCTATGCCCTCCGAAGAACCATCAAACAGGCAAAGAGTCAATACAGGACTAAGATTGAATCGTACTACACTGGCTCTGACGCTCGTCGGATGTGGCAGGGCTTGAAAACTATTACAGACTACAAAGGGAAGCACAGCCGCGAGCTGCCCAGTGACACAAGACTCCCAGACGAGCTAAACCACTTCTATGCTCGCTTCGAGGCAAGCAACACTGAAGCATGCATGAGAGCACCAGCTGTTCCGGATGACTATGTGATCACGCTCTCCGTAGCCGATGTGAGTAAGACTTTTAAGCAGGTCAACATTCACAAGGCCGCAGGGCCAGACGGATTACCAGGACGTGTACTCCGAGCATGTGCTGACCAACTGGCAAGTGTCTTCACTGACATTTTCAACATGTCCCTGACTGAGTCTGTAATACCAACATGTTTCAAGCAGACCACCATAGTCCCCGTGCCCAAGGACTCTAAGATAACCTGCCTAAATGACTACCGACCCGTAGCACTGACGTCTGTAGCCATGAAGTGCTTCGAAAGGCTGGTCATGGCTCACATCAACAGCATTATCCCACAAACCCTAGACCCACTCCAATTTGCATACCGCCCCAACAGATCCACAGATGATGCAATCTCTATTGCACTCCACACTGCCCTTTCCCACCTGGACAAGAGGAACACCTACGTGAGAATGCTATTCATTGACTACAGCTCAGCATTCAACACCATAGTGCCCTCAAAGCTCATCACTAAGCTAAGGATCCTGGGACTAAACACCTCCCTCTGCAACTGGATCCTGGACTTCCTGACAGGCCGCCCCCAAGTGGTAAGGGTAGGTAACAACACATCTGCCACACTGATCCTCAACACGGGGGCCCCTCAGGGGTGCGTGCTCAGTCCCCTCCTGTACTCCCTGTTCACCCATGACTGCATGGCCAGGCACGACTCCAACACCATCATTAAGTTTGCCGACGACACAACAGTGGTAGGCCTGATCACCGACAACGATGAGACAGCCAATAGGGAGGAGGTCAGAGACCTGGCCGTGTGGTGCCAGGACAACAACCTCTCCCTCAACGTGACCAAGACAAAGGAGATGATTGTGGACTACAGGAAAAAAAAGAGGACTGAGCATGCCCCCATTCTCATCGACGGGGATGTAGTGGAACAGGTTGAGAGGTTCAAGTTCCTTGGTGTCCACATCACCAACGAACTATCATGGTCCAAACACACCAAGACAGTCGTGAAGAGGGCACGACAAAGCCTATTCCCCCTCAGGAGACTGAAAAGATTTGGCATGGGTCCTCAGATCCTCAAAAAAGTATACAGCTGCACCATCGAGAGCATCCTGACTGGTTGCATCACCGCCTGGTATGGCAACTGCTTGGCCTCCGACCGCAAGGCACTACAGAGGGTAGTGCGTACGGCCCAGTACATCACTGGGGCCAAGCTTCCTGCCATCCAGGACCTCTATACCAGGCGGTGTCAGAGGAAAGCCCTCAAAATTGTCAAAGACTCCAGCCACCCTAGTCATAGACTGTTCTCTCTGCTACCGCACGGCAAGCGGTACCGGAGTGGCAAGTCTAGGTCCAAAAGACTTCTCAACAGCTTCTACCCCCAAGCCATAAGACTCCTGAACAGCTAATCATGGCTACCCGGACTATTTGCACTGCCCCCCCACCCCATCCTTTTACGCTGCTGCTACTCTGTTAATTATTTATGCATAGTCACTTTAACTCTGCCCACATGTACATATTACTTCAACTACCTCAACTAGCCGGTGCCCCCGCACATTGACTCTACACCGGTACCCCCCTGTATATATAGCCTCCCTACTGTTATTTTATTTTACTTCTGCTCTTTTTTTCTCAACACTTTTTTTGTTGTTGTTTTATTTTTACTTTTTTGTTAAAAATAGATGCACTGTTGGTTAAGGGCTGTAAGTAAGCATTTCACTGTAATGTCTGCACCTGTTGTATTCGGCGCATGTGGCCAATAACATTTGATTTGATTTGATTTGAAGTGGGCAGTGGCTTTCTAAATCTGCCTCCTTTAAGGTCATGATACTGTACTTCAAACTTGATTTGCATTGCCAAACCTTATGCTGTGGCTTCTTAGACTAGCTAGCAAACTAGCAAATTACCTTTATTTTTTATTTAGCTGTCGAGTTAACAAACGTTATCTAGCAAGCGAGCTAGCAGCTAAGTTAGTTATAGCTAGCTCAGTCAATCAGCGAAGATGAGATAAGATGTTCGCTCAAGCAAACTGTGTGCACCTAAACCAGGAATATGTTTACCTGTAATCGCACATTGAACATCATCGAAGCGATGAGGTAGAGGTATGGGAATCTGATTCGCAGTCGCCAAGCGAGATCAAAAAATATCAACAAAGTCCTCGTCAACCCTTTTGAAAACACCCCGTAAGTCCGACCAGCGGACCCCGAAAAACGGAACACTAAATAAGACAGACCCGCCATAAAACAATGTCTGCCACAGCGATTATCCCCCGGAATTAAAACTAGCTTATTTACTAGTTAAGAAGATACAACAGTGCATATTGCCATCGTTGTCTGGAGTTTATAACATTCGTCTTTTGACGAGGTACTCCCCAACCGAGAATTCCACCGTTATTTTCCCGTTTTGGTCAAACGGAACATTAACAGTGTGACTCACGGAAGTTGCAATGCAATGATATCTGGTAACGTCATCATGGTGTAACAGTCTAAGGTGTCCGTAAATAATCAGTTATTTTTCAGAGACTATAATAATTTGGATAAACTAGTCTCTCTAATACTGTTCTGATTACTAAGTATACCAGATACCTTTGCATACCATACCGTATATCAACATCACGATGTCAGCCTATAATTTTCTGATTATTTTCCGATTGGCACAGTGGTCTAAGGCACTGCATCGCAGTGCTAGCTGTGCCTCTAGAGATCTTGGTTCGAATCCAGGCTCTGTCGTAGACGGCCGCGACCGGGAGACCCATGGGGCGGCGCACAATTGGTCCAGGGTAGGGGAGGGAATGGCCGGCAGGGATGTAGCTCAGTTGGTAGAGCATGGCGTTTGCGACGCCAGGGTTGTGGGTTCGATTCCCACGGGGGGCCAGTATGAAAAATAAAAATGTATGCACTCACTAACTGTAAGTCGCGCTGGATAAGAGTGTCTGCTAAATGACATAAATGTAAATAACTCCACACTACCTGAAAAAGTTGTTCACACTTCTCAAATGTGTATTTTGGTACTCAGACACTTTTTCAAACGGCTAATTTACTTCCAAATAATTGAATATATGTTGTGTGAAAGATACACGTTCATATCCCTTTTCTTTATTTGATGCTTCCTTCGTTTTATCACAATGTACTGTCTTTGGTTTTAGGATTAAACTACTGCACATCAGTGATTTCAATCAGTGCGTGGGCGTCTACAGCAACCGGAAGTGACTCGGTGAACGGATAGTTCTCCCTCTGGGTTTTTTTCCTCAATGGGTGATAGCAGCTGTTTGCTCCAAAACTTCCAGTTGAGAAAGCATGGGAATGTAGGAAGATCACTTCAAAACAAAGTTACATTGAAGTTACGGATATCTTCTCGGACACTTTGGACAAGACACACACTAACCTTGCCAATCAGTCTTACTTTGACCAAATAATTCCAGACATTTCAAGTTTGAACAAGTTCAGACAAAAGAGTGGGTAGCTAAGCTAGCTAGCACCCAACCTAGTAAACGGACTGAGCGACGCATCTGGACCAGTCTGGTAGTACGGTCCAGAACAATGCAGGCCATAAAGTGTGTCGTGGTTGGGGACGGGTAAGTTTATGAACGTTTACTAAGTTTAAATACATGATGTAACATTAGCTAAGTAGCTATCTATCTTTGGTGTGGATGTCAATAAATAAATTATATAGCTTGCTAGCGAATGTGTTAACTTGTTAGTAGCTAGTTAGCTAGGTGAAAAGTTAGCTAAAGGTAACTAACTACCAAATTAACAAATTCAGCAATGACAATACAACATTAGGCAAGCAAATACATGGTTATTCTCACAATTGTTATTTGTGCAAATCAGCTGGTTCCCTAATTTGTTGTGCATGCCTCATTGTTTGGATTTATCATCAATGGGACTAAATTAAGTGGGTGTGCTAACTTTATAAATCAAATCACTGACACTTCTCTGCCATAGTTGTGTACATTCAGATGCTGAAACATGTCTATTCTAGCCAAGTATCTCAACTCCTCCACGCTACCAATTATTATTTTATGTTTTTTACAAATCGATACTTGAAGTCAATTATAAATTATATTGCGATATGTAACTATCGATTTTTCCCCCATCACTAGTTGCTATGCGTCGATACTTTCATTTGTTAAATTATTAAACCCTTACCGTTTACCTGTGTTTGTCCTCTTTTGTTGCAGGCCTTTCTTTGTTTGCTGAAATCATACTTTTTATAAAACGTTAATCAAATACAGTCGTGGTCAAAAGTTTGGAGAATGACACAAGTATTGGTCTTCACAAAGTTTGCTGCTTCAGTGTTTTTAGATATTTTTGTCAGATGTTACTATGGTATACTGAAGTATAATTACAAGCATTCCATAAGTGTCAAAGGCTTTTATTGACAATTACATTAAGTTTATGCAAAGAGTCAATATTTGCAGTGTTGACCCTTCTTTTTCAAGACCTCTGCAATCCGCCCTGGCATGCTGTCAATTAACTTCTGGGCCACATCCTGACTGATGGCAGCCCATTCTTGCATTATCAATGCTTGGAGTTTGTCAGAATTTGTGGGTTTTTGTTTGTCCACCCGCCTCTTGAGGATTAACCACAAGTTCTCAATGGGATTAAGGTCTGGGGAGTTTCCTGGCCATGGACCCAACATTTTGATGTTTTGTTCCCAGAGCCACTTAGTTATCACTTTTGCCTTATGGCAAGGTGCTCCATCATGCTGGAAAAGGCATTGTTCGTCATCAAACTATTCTTGGATGGTTGGGAGAAGTTGCTCTCGGAGGATGTGTTGGTACCATTCTTTATTCATGGCTGTGTTCTTAGGCAAAATTGTGAGTGAGCCCACTCCCTTGGCTGAGAAGCAACCCCACACATGAATGGTCTCAGGATGGTTTACTGTTGGCATGACACAGGACTGATGGTAGTGCTCACCGTGTCTTCTCCGGACAAGCTTTTTTCCGGATGCCCCAAACAATCTGAAAGGGGATTCATCAGAGAAAATGACTTTGCCCCAGTCCTCAGCAGTCCAATCCCTGTACCTTTTGCAGAATATCAGTCTGTCCCGGATGTTTTTCCTGGAGAGAAGTGGCTTCCTCGCTGCCCTTCTTGACACCAGGCCATCCTCCAAAAGTCTTCGCCTCACTGTGCGTGCAGATGCACTCACACCTGCCTGCTGCCATTCCTGAGCAAGCTCTGCACTGGTGGTGCCCCGATCCCGCAGCTGAATCAACTTTAGGAGACGGTCCTGGCACTTGCTGGACTTTCTTGGGTGCCCTGAAGCCTTCTTCACAACAGTTGAACCTCTCTCCTTGAAGTTCTTGATGATCCAATAAATGGTTGATTTAGGAGCAATCTTGCTAGCAGCAATATCCTTGCCTGTGAAGCCCTTTTTGTGCAAAGCAATGATGACGGCACGTGTTTCCTTGCAGGTAACCATGGTTAAGAGGAAGAACAATTATTTCAAGCACCACCCTCCTTTTAAAGCTTCCAGTCTGTTATTCTAACTCAATCAGCATGACAGAGTGATCTCCAGCCTTGTCCTCGTCAACACTCTCACCTGTGTTAACGAGAGAATCACTGACATGATGTCAGCTGGTCCTTTTGTGGCAGGGCTGAAATGCATTTCAAAAACTCTAGTCTGCGTTCAACTCCGTGGATGAGTTGAGGTACTTGGCAAGCTGTATTTCAAGCTTTTATATATTTTTTGTCAAAAACCTTGTCTCCATTTTATTTCTGTCATCGTTTACTTGGTCATTTCATTGAATCTAAATTGTGAAAACAGTTAACCGGTATTCATCATCATTGCCAGCAAGCTAATGTTTCCGTAGAAAAATTTCCCAGGTGTGAAGTAAAGAGAAGGAAAGGGGATACCTAGTCAGTTGCGCAACTGAATGCATTCAACTATCCCAGAACATGACCGGTGGACTGACTCACTCTATATACAAATATTAATGTCTAGATCATAGGGAGTATTTAATCTAGACTGAATAACTCCTTGATGTTTGCAGTTCCCAACTAAGTTAAATGGCCTCCGGTCAAACATTTAGGTGTGAGCATGGTAATAAGACATGTTGACTCACTGCACTTCACCGACCTCTGTTTGCCAACCAGGTAGATACAAAGCCTTTGCTAGTGGTTGGTAGGTAGGTATTACCCAACAATTAAGTAACAAACATATTTCAGTTACCCTAGTGGTGCTTGGTCAAACCTGTTCCTCACCTGGCTGGTAGTTAGCCACTCAAATAACTGTGCACTTTTGGATGACCGTATCAGAAAAAAAACTCCAGACAGGCCCAAGTAGTGGTTTTGTTTTTCCTGGTCAGGTCATGTAGTCAAAGAAGGACTTCTGGTCCTAAATTATGTGGTGGGAGGGTGCTCTTATCTACATATAGCATCCGATCTGTTTGGGCACTCCACTCATAATGTGTAGGAGGGAGGGAGGGTGTACACTACAGAGTATGCATCCTCTGGTCTGGGTGTGGTGGATATTGCAGGCAGCAGGAGAAATTAAAGCCCACACGTCATAGATGGAACCACGGCTGAACTGTTCTATTCTTTGATTTAAGGAGGTAATATAACTGTTCACTCCCATTCGTCGGCTATCTTTTGAAATAGTGACTAGGCCACATTTCAAAGAGTTACGGACATGAGTTGGTTTTACTGAACCTCGGATCATAAAAGAAAGCAGATGATCCTCTGAAATGTGTGATTGTCAATGTATTAATGTGTAGAGGATGGCATTGCATGGCTTCAGACACAGGACTGATGGTAGCATGAATCTCAATCTTATTCAATTGAACCAAGTCTCTGAGTTCCTGGCTGCAGGGCATACAATCATTCAAGGTAGCTTTTGAAGTGTGTGTTGTCCATCCACCCAGAGTCAAGTTTGGTAGGGACCTCAATGCTCTCTATAATAGACCATAGCCATGTCTTTAGCTTGGTTCTTTCAGAGGATTGACATCATGCTATAAAATTGGCATATGGCATACAACATTTACATTTTAGCAGACGCTCTTATCCAGAGCGACTTACAGGAGCAATTAGGGTTAAGTGCCTTGCTCAAGGGCACATTGACAGATTTTTCACCTAGTCGGCTCAGGGATTAGAACCAGCGACCTTTCGGTTACTGCCACAACGCTCTTAACCACTAAGCTACCTGCCACCCCTACAAGCCTATGATTTGTTCCATAACATTGACATGTGCTGTTATCTTCTCCTCTTCCAGAGCTGTGGGTAAGACATGTCTGCTGATCAGCTACACGACCAATGCCTTCCCTGGAGAGTACATTCCCACAGTGTGAGTACCTCTACAGCCCCCAGCGGGGAGGCATGGCCTGGGAACCCCCTGGAGCCAGACACCCCCAGCACCACACCTCTCTACTTCTCTCCATGTCTGTCTCCACAACCATTATTCGGGCTAGGCAGGGTGGGCATCTCTACATTGCTGTCTTTTGCCCCCCACCTAAACCTACAAATCGGATTTGGTGACAAAATGTTTGTTGGCAGCTGGGGATGCTAATCATGCTAACCTGAGGGCCTTAGCATCACACCGGTAGCGTTTGCCAGCCAAGAGTACTTAGCATCTCTGAACAGAGTGCCAGACGGAAATGTTGGCAGTCAGACGTCCACCGGCGGGGTGGTCCCTAAAACACACCGGTCCGAACAAACGGCAGATCAACATTCGGTTGGGTGTGTGCACTCCCTTCGGGGGAAGAAATACCTGTGGAAAACAAATCACCATAAGGGTTTTTAGGTCTTATCTGACCTCAGACCTGGAACTAACTTGTTATGTTGATCTGTATGTGTGACGTGAACTGGTTATGCCACCTGAGTTTAGATAAGTGACCAGGTTTTATTATTGATGGTCACTGGTCAGATTTACCAATAGTTTTTCACCAGTTTGAACCAGTTGTTCTTAAGAGGAAATACTGTAAAACATTCAAATGAAAAGGTTAAAGGGGAAATCTGCAGTTGCTACATCCATTTTTGGACTTATAAATGAATGATATATATACACATTGATTCTTGAAGAATATAACAGATAAATGCTCCATGAGCTTAGTTTAACTGTTGTACCCCATCAGAACCCAAAATGTAAGCTTGTTTTACTCCAAAGTTTGAAAACATTGTAATTGTAAACCAACACTGTATAGCAGGGGTATTCAACTCTTACCCCACGAGGTTCGGTGCCTGCTGGTTTTCTGTTCTACCTGATAATTAATTGCACCCACTTGGTGTCACAGGTCTAAATCGGTCCCTAATTAGAGGAGAACAATAAAAAAAACGCAGTGGAAAGGGCTTTGAGGTCCAGAGTTGAGTTTGAGGGCTGTACAGCCTCAAAACATGCTTTAAACTATCTTTTTGATATCTTGGATGATCAGTCCTTGCATCTATAGCTCAGTCTTATGACGCTTTGTTATTGTTTCACTTGTTGATTGTCCCTTTAAATAAGGATTAAGAGCTTATGTAATAATATCTATACATTTACTTCACATTCTTCTATTCCCTTGTAGAAATATGATTTCTAGTTAGTCTGATACATACAGCTACGCTCTTTAGCTTTTCACATCAAGTTGAATAGGATACACTTCTCTCTCCTTTGTTGTCTGAAGTTGATTATTAGCCTATACCCACACATAGCTGTTGACTGATCCCTACAGGTTTGACAACTACTCTGCCAATGTGATGGTGGATGGAAAACCAGTCAACCTGGGCCTGTGGGATACAGCAGGACAGGAGGACTACGACAGACTCCGCCCCCTCTCCTACCCACAGACGGTAAGTTTGACAGACCAGACATGCGTTGCCATGGGAACAGCTGAAACTTCCTCATTGTTTTGTTTGAAATGAAGCCTTTGTGTACTTACGGGAAAGTCTGTCAAAAATAGCCTAGTCCTCATCTCTGTGGGGAATAATAAGGACATTTTAGATATAAGGAAACGCACACCTTTGTATGTAAGGAACACTGTGATTACGGAAGTGATTGTCACGGGCACTGACAGATTATTCCTTCTCTCTTTCTCTCCAGGATGTGTTCCTTATCTGTTTCTCCCTCGTGAGTCCTGCCTCGTTTGAAAACGTCCGTGCCAAGGTGGGTGCCCTGTTTGAAGCAACTCATCATAACTCCTCATAGCTCTTACCAAGTCAATACAAGGAGCTTGTCTACAACACAGCACATGATGTTCAGTTCAAACACATTTATATTGTCTAGGACTATTTTTCAGAGCTGCATTTTGGAAAATACAGTCCATATTGATTCTTCATAAGATTGATAATATAACCAGTAAAAATCAGTTTCATCTTTTGAAAAGTCATGGAAACTGTAATGACAAATTTAATGGGAACCCTGTGAAAGTGACGTTCCCGATGTGGTCTCTCTTCATAGTGGTACCCAGAGGTCAGGCACCACTGCCCCAACACGCCCATCATCCTAGTGGGCACCAAGCTGGATCTGAGGGACGACAAGGACACCATCGACAAGCTCAGAGAGAAGAAGCTCACCCCTATCACCTACCCCCAAGGCCTGGCCATGGCCAAAGAGATCGGTACGTGTTCAGTGTTCATCAGCGACAATGATGGATGGATGGACGGAATGTGAATGAAGTTGAAGGCAGGTTTAGGGAGTGTGTTTACTGTTAGGGACAATTCATGCTTTGAATGCAGATAACCTTCTTAACCAGGAGAAAGTGGTTGTACTCATGCATTACTGAGGATGTAGTCATGCTCTCTGAGTAAAGCTTTAGAAAGTGATATCTCAAAGGGAGTGAGTGAAGAGTAACTAGCTTCTCTCTCCTGCTTGGACAGCACACACACATGCACACCATTCAGAGCCATGCATTAGTAGTAACAGTCTCCTCATTCTCTCTCCTGTCGCTCAGGTGCGGTGAAGTACCTGGAGTGCTCGGCCCTGACCCAGCGCGGCCTGAAGACTGTGTTTGACGAGGCCATCCGGGCGGTCCTCTGCCCCCCGCCCGTCAAGAAGAGGAGGAGGAAGTGCTCCCTGCTCTAGAACCCTGCAGACAGGAAGTGTCGGGACGTGGGCACTCGCCTTGCGGGGAGACAGAAAACACAGACACAAAAGCATTTTACTTCCGATTCTTTCCTTCCTTTATATATTCACTACTAGTACAGCACTGGGACAAACTGTTCCTTTGTTAAAAGAAACTGAACATACAGATGGGTTTTGATGACAATCCGAACCCAGTCCTTTTCTTTGCATAGACACACACATCACTGAAGTCTAAGAAATTCCAGAGGCCTTCTAAAAATGGATTTAAACTTCTGATGATTAAATGTTTTTGTATTTCTTGCTCTTCCACTCGTAGTCCATATTGTTTGTTTACAGTCTTTAGAGGTTGTTTTAGGCGGAGCGTGATGTTGCCAAACTGCATACTGCAGATATTAGAAGCTGTACAGCAGACACTAAACGTGTTGCACATTTTTTTGATTTACATCCTAACAGTACAGCTAATAATTTGGCATGATGCACTGCAGTTAATGGTTACATGGGTAAGATGGCATTCTATTTGGGGGGGGGGGGGGGGGGGGGGGGCATTCTGTATAACATTATGTAAATCCAGAACTTGCCAAGTTAATAGCATCACTAGTTTTATTTTCAGGTCCAAATACAAATTAATGTACCATGAATCTAATTTTACTAATAGTGATCAACTTAGGCTCAGGACCAAGTTTGGGAAACGCTGGTCTATGCCAACAGTGCTTTTTGTCGATTGGAAAAAGCATGATCCTTCAGTATTTAATGGGGGAGCTGGCATGCCTCGTTGCACGGTTGGAACTGTCAGTCAATAATGTTTTATTCCCCCAACCCCTCCTGATGTGTCCTCCCTCTACTGTCTGAACCGAATCGTTGCCTGAGAAATGCAAAGCTTGCAACTTTATATGAGAAGATTGGATGTGAGGACTGTTTTGGGTGTCGAGATATGCGATAAAAGCACCTTTTATATTAGTCTTTGGGCATTTATCAGAACATTCATGCAGCGATTTCTTCTGTGTATTTTATTTGTGAATAGCCCATTTTGATTCACAGTAGCCACCACTACTTGGAAAGTGAAGTAACAAAGAGAGCATTTAAATGACTGAGGAATGTTCTAACGGTAACAAAGCTACGGTCAGTAACGGCGTAGTGTTTGTATATACTCATCTTTGGTTATAATCATGTGAATTCAATTGGCTATTTTGTATCATTAATTTTTTCCACTGAAGTTAATTTACACATCACTCACTGTATTTTTAAACTAACACTATGAATGCTATATTGTTTACCTCCTACAAATAAACCTTTAATTTTCCTACAAGTCTAGCCTTTTGTAATTAATGCAGATAGCATGAAATGTGCAACATATACTGAAGCGTGATTTAGGATCGCTATATACATTTTATATATTTTTTTACATCTTTCAACTACTAGATCAGAAGTACAAGATATGACGTAACTGTTATCCAGGCATCAAGCTGCGCTCCAACTCAGAGCCAATGTTGTGACCCTTCAGTTTTATGGATAAAGCGATTTGTCAATTTTTTGAGAGCCAATAAATTTGAATTAAACAGATCGTGCGCATTTTACTTTACGTTTGAGGTATTCATATTTTAGTCACAGTACTAAGCTTCTCAATCGAGGTATTCATATTTACAGTTGTTACAGCACTTAGCTTCTCAATTAGTGTTTCTTAAGCCTTTTTTTTAAGGACTTATATGCTATTGTACTTCCTTCTTTGAGGACTGAGCATAAGGATACCTAGTTGTAGGGTTCACATTGCAATTGTCTTAAAACAAGTGCCAAAGGACAGTCAAAAAGGAACCTTAAACGATTTACAAACCAGACAAGGTTTTATTTTACACCATTGGCATTTCATCAACCTACAAGGTTTCACTTTGTACAATTGGCAGAAAAAACTTCCACAAAAACAAGGCAATAACAAATGATTAACCACAGGTTAATTTGGTGTAACATGGCCACTCATTATGTTCAGTTGCTCTGAGGGTTTCTTCCATGAAACAGGTTGTTGTATCCATTCAGTCAGTTGAGTTCATTAGTCCACACACCGTAACAATGTTCCTGAAGTTGTGGGTATACTAAAAAAAAAAGAGCTGGTCAGTTGGGTACAGCATGACAAATTGTATTAGATTCACTTCAGTCAACAAGAATAGTTGATGGCTACGCCCCAGGAGTTTTTCGTGGTCAGGTCAAGTTTCAAGTTTTATTTGTTTATTTGTCACATGCACAAGTACAGTGAAATGTTTAACTTGCAAGCCCTTTCCAGTATTCAGTCAATATCAAAATAGTATAACTAAAAAGCCACAGGGGGAAAAAAGGAACATGTAAGCTGTATACAGGGTCAGGGTCAGTGCCAGTACCAGATTTACAATGTGCAGGGATACTGGATTAGTTGAGGTAGATATGTACATGTATGCTGAGATTAGGAGAAAGCGACGTAGCAGGACAAATAATAATAGTAAACAATATGGCAGCAGCATAAGTGGTGGGTGTGTGCGTGCAAGATTGTCATTATGTTCAGGGAAAACTCCTGGTCCTACTGACATGAAAACCAGTCTCACCACTCTACTAGCTCTGCACCAATGATGTCATGGATGTGGTACTTGATCTGGAATTTAACCTGTGAGTTGGTCTGTCTCTCCTCCAGCTCTGCCTTTAAGACTTCATTATATTTGGACTTCTTAATCATGCCCAAAACAGCTTTACGACCTGGGTCAGGGGGAGGAAGAGAGTAAACTGTCAACACTCCATTAGCAAAGAAGTGCTAATAACTCAATGTGGAATGTGTACATTCAAGTCAGAGTCCACAAAACAGATCATTCCAATTAATTATCTATGAGGAAAAGTGATCGTTTTAGACAGTATAAGTCTATGTAGCTAGCTTCCTTTGTTTGGTGGCTGACCCTGTATTAGGTACTTGGTGAATCTGCCAGAGTTGGGGATGGAGAGCCACCAGCTGCCAGCGTCCCTTACAGTCAGAACCCCCGACTTCACCAGTTGCCTGGGTGGGGGTGGGAAATAGCACAAGTTATTTGTGACTCATTTACAAATGGAGCAAACGCATCCAAACAGATACTTTCAGATACATGAAAAGAATAAGATGCAGCATAGGACAAAATGACCCCCCTCTCAAACAACATTTAAAATCTTACACACAGTGCTGGTTTCCTGGACAGAGATCAAGGCTAGACCAGGACTAAAAAGTATGTATAATAGAGAATCTCCATTGAAATAGCCTTTTAGTCCAGGACTAGGCTTAATCTGTGTCTGACAAACCAGCTATAGTAGAAACGCATTAATAGAATAGAAGAAACACATTCAAACAAAGACTTTCAATACACAAAGTGACCAAGATATGAGGGGGAAAAAGGCTTTTTCTCGTACGTTATCTCTGAGTCTGTGAAGAGAAACTCCTTGAGAATTGTGTCTTTGTTGAAGCTCAGGTCGTTGCAAGAGGGCAGCACTTTCTCCAGGAACTTCTCCACTGTGCCCCGTGTCCCTCTCCCCTCCTCCCCGGCCAGGACTTTAGCTTTGTAGTCTGCAGCGAACACCAACCCAAAGGCCTCAGCGTCAAAGCCCAACTGGAACATCAACAGCTCCCCCTGTTCCCTCAAGTCACTCTAACAAAGAGATGAGGAAAATGAGATTTTGGACATTAATATAGAGCAGGGGTGTCAAACGTACGGCCCGCGGGCCGGATCAGGCCCGCAAACGGGTTTAATCCGGCCCGCGAGATGATAAAAAAATAAAAAAATAATAACATTTGTAAAGTATAAAAATGCGCTGCAATTTTTCAATAAAATAAACTGCTGTTCCAATTGCGTCCACTGGATGGCGCAATAGCAATTGTGTTAAGCAAGCAAACTGTTTATACCGGGGCAGAGCAAGTAGGTCAAGCACGTGCAGCCAATGAGCTACTTTGTTTTGCCCTCGATATTTATTACGGCTTCTACTTTTAACATCATGTGCTTTGGCACCCTCATTGCCCCAATATGTCTCTGTCAAAAAAGAGAAAAGTGGACGCAGAGTGCAGAGTGTTCCAAGAAAAATGGTCATCCTATTTAATCACGGAATTGAATGGGAAAGCTGTATGTTTGGTGTGTTCACAGCATGTTGCAGTGCTGAAAGAATATAACCTTCGTCGCCACTATGTGAGTCTTCATGCCGACAAATATGACAACTTTCAAGGACAGCGGAGATGAGAGAAGGTGAATGAACTGTTGGCGGGTCTGAAGAAACAGCAGTCTGTGTTTACTCACAGCCGAGACATCAGTGACGCTGCAGTGAAAGCTAGCTACCTCATTGCTAATGAAATCGCAGTGGCTTCAAAACCATTTAGTGAGGGTGAATTTGTAAAAACATGCATGATGAAGGCAGCGGAGATTGTGTGCCCTGAAAAGCGGCAGGCTTTTGCAAATATCAGCCTGACAAGAAACACAGTTGCAGACAGGATTTCCGATCTTTCAATGGATTTGGACAGCCAGTTGAAGCAAAAAGTAAAGTCATTTATTGCGTTTTCAGTTGCAATTGATGAAAGCACGGACATTACAGATGTTGCACAACTGGCCATTTTTTCATCCGCGGAGTTGATGACACATTGACCGTCACCGAGGAGTTCGTGGAGTTGGTGCCGATGACAGATACAACGACAGCAGCTGATATTTTTACCGCACTCGTCGGCGCGCTGGACAGGGTCGGAGTGGACTGGTCCCGCGCTGTCAGCCTGACTACAGATGGTGCGCCCTCAATGATCGGGAAAAAAGCAGGCGTTGTGACAAAGTTCAGAGAGAAAGTGCAATCTGCAAATGGAGGACGTGATTTTTTGACTTTTCACTGTATTTTGCACCAGGAGGCTTTGTGTTGCAAGTCATTAAAGATGGATAACGTCATGAAGGTGGTCATCCAAACTGTTAATTTCATCCGATCCAGAAGCCTGAATCACCGTCAGTTTGACAGCCTTCTCAGAGAGAAAGACCACATCTATGGCCTGCCATACCACACTGAGGTAAGATGGTTAAGCCGAGGTGCTGTGCTGAGGCGTTTCTTTGATTACGAGAAGAAATTGAACAGTTCATGGAAGAAAAGGGCAAAACCAGTGTTAGAATTTCATTCCGCAGAATGGATGCAGGACCTTGCATTTATGGTGGATGTTACAGAGCACCTGAATAACTTGAACAAACAGCTGCAAGGGCGCAACAAAGTTGTCACGCAGTATTATGACAGCATACGTTCTTTCAAGTTGAAGCTGTCATTGTGGGAGACGCAACCTGCCGGTGGTGATGCAGCTCACTTCCCCTGTCAGAAAAATGTGTGCGCGACCCAACATGTGGCAGACATGAAGCGGTTCAAAGATAAAATAACGGGACTGTTACGGCAGTTTGAGCAACGCTTTCAGATTTATGTTTATATGTTTTTATGTTGATGTGCTATTGTTTTTAATTGATTTTATTTTATTTGTATATTAACCTATTCTTGACTCTGTGGTTCTTGCACTTGTTTGGGGAAACAGGATTTCATTATTTTTATCTACATTTCTGCCTGAGAAATGACACCCTGATATAGTTCTGTGATCTGTGATATACTTCTGTGAATCACTGAGGCATTGTGTGTTTGTGTGTTCTTTGTCCTCAGAACTTTCAAATAACTTGAGGTGTTATGATTAATAGTGATGTTGTGCTTTTGGACACTGTCCTCAGGCTCCAGCTTTATGTTTATATGTTTTTATGTTGATGTGCTATTGTTTTTAATTGATTTTATTTTATTTGTATATTTAACCTATTCTTGACTCTGTGGTTCTTGCACTTGTTTGGGGAACAGGATTTCATTATTTTATCTACATTTCTGCCTGAGAAATGACACCCTGATATAGTTCTGTGATCTGTGATATACTTCTGTGAATCACTGAGGCATTGTGTGTTGTGTGTTCTTTGTCCTCAGAACTTTCAAATAACTTGAGGTGTTATGATTAATAGTGATGTTGTGCTTTTGGACACTGTCCTCAGGCTCCAGCTTTATGTTTATATGTTTTTATGTTGATGTGCTATTGTTTTTAATTGTTTTTATTTTATTTGTATATTTAACCTATTCTTGACTCTGTGGTTCTTGCACTTGTTTGGGGAACAGGATTTCATTATTTTTATCTACATTTCTGCCTGAGAAATGACACCCTGATATAGTTCTGTGATCTGTGATATACTTCTGTGAATCACTGAGGCATTGTGTGTTTGTGTGTTCTTTGTCCTCAGAACTTTCAAATAACTTGAGGTGTTTATGATTAATAGTGATGTTGTGCTTTTGGACACTGTCCTCAGGCTCCAGCTTTATGTTTATATGTTTTTATGTTGATGTGCTATTGTTTTTAATTGTTTTTATTTTATTTGTATATTTAACCTATTCTTGACTCTGTGGTTCTTGCACTTGTTTGGGGAACGGATTTCATTATTTTTATCTACATTTCTGCCTGAGAAATGACACCCTGATATAGTTCTGTGATCTGTGAAACAGTTCTGTTAATCACTGAGGCATTGTGTGTTTGTGTGTTCTTTTTCTTTAGAATTTTCAAATAAACTTGACGTGTTTTATGATTAATAGTGATGTTGTGCTTGTACTATTTTGGACACACTGTCCTCAGGCTCCAGCTTTATGTTGTATGTTGATCGTATTAAAACAAAGAAAACAATCTGAAGTTGTTGTTTTTAAGTTATATATATACCATGATTTTTCCGGTCCGGCCCACTTGGGTATAGATTTTCCTCCATGTGGCCCCTGAGCTAAAATGAGTTTGACACCCCTGATATAGAGGGATCAACCAAGTCTAAATTTACAACAAATGTGAATATTTCTCCAGGACTAGCAGTGTTTTTCAAACCCAGCCCTGGAGACCAACAAGGTGTGGAGGTTTTTGTTCGTGCCCAGTACTAACATATTTCATTGAGACCACCAGGATTGAAGAACACTGCTCCAGCAATATTCATTGGGCTTACCAGCTGCCTGTCCACTTGGGTCCTATCATTGTGTATGCTGTAGAGCTGGTGTTTTAGGACAATTTGTGGAAGGGCGTCATTGAAGAGTTTGCGTGGGAATAATGTCATAAGGTCCTGCAGGGTGGCTTTGACGTCCAGTGGTCCCTCTGGGAGAAGACAGGAACAACAAAGGAGACGGACAACAAGTCAAACATACTAAACACTGACACATTTAGCAAGCTAGCTACATTTATGTTTGAGAAAAGGCACCTTCTCCATTGTTGACAGCTCCAAACTGCTTCTCATTGCCAATTCTTCGTTTCTTCACTTTAAACGTGTCTGATATAAGGGCCCGTTTTCTGTTCATAACTGAGAGGCATGGAAACATAAATTGACATTAACAATCGTTGTGGACTGCTAACGTTAGTGGCTAGTTACAGTAGCTATTTGTTGTTATGAAGACACAGACAGCAGCATGCTAACGTTAGCCAAATGGCTAGAAGCTCATTTATTTCACTGGAGTAAACTTTATAATAAGGCTATTATTATTTATTCACTAGCAATAAAATGGATGTCCATACCTGACATAAAGTAAGCATTGTTGGAGCAACTCCTCGTCAAACAAGATTTTCAAATCGTTTGAACATACACCGGCCAAAATTATACTGTCAGAATGACAACAGACAGCACCCAACTCCGAAACATACCGCCACCTATCGGTCGGGGTCAACTTTTACACATCCTGCAAAACAGAAGTAGCTAGCTAGCTATTAAGACGGTGGTGAGTAAATTAACATTTTGCAAAATGGGTTGTATCGGCTTTGCTTTATCAAAACATAGAAAGCAGCATGAATAACATAATGTAGCATGCATGCTGTTGAAGACAACAGCTAGCTACTAATATCACTGTGCATTTACATCAACTGCTAGCTAGCTAACGTTAACTAGCTCGCTAGACTGCTACTAGCCATGCATTCGCAAAGCTGAAGTTTCATTGACTGGAGGGTAGTGTAATAATAAATAAAACATCTGTTATTACGTCTAATGTAACATCTATTACAGCATTGATGTAATAACCAATACAGTGATATTACCTGTCTAGCCCACATAGCTACCTAATTTAGTCATATGAGACAGCAGTGGCCGAAAGGGTGGGTCCAGTGTGTGTTGTGGGTCTGTGTGTCATTCGTGTATACTGTATGTTAGTAGCTAGCTAGCTAGCCTACTTCTGTGGTTTGCATCCCAAAGGAGAGCAATGTTTCAACATTTTCTAGAAAGACTGCAGTGTCCATGAATAATTGGAGAAAGCAATGTGATTGACCCATTCTGGCTCTCCATCTATCCATCCTGTTCTTCCAGATCAGTTAAAGGTCCAATGCAGACGTTTTCTTTTTTATCTCAATATCAAATCATTTCTGAGTAACAATTAAGTACCTTACTGTGATTGTTTTGAATTAAATGGTCAAATAGAAACAAAAATAGCTTATTAGCAAAGATACATTTCTCAAGCAAGAATTTTGCTACGAGTGGAGAGGGGGAAAACTAGCTGTTATTGGCAGAGAGGTTTGGAACTCTTCTTCTTCTTGTTCATGTTGTTCTTCTGTGGGTTTTATGGCGGACTAGAACCCCAAAAGGTGTATTGCCGCCACCAGCTGGAATGGTTGAAAAAACAAAATCCATACGTGATAGGGAAAACAAACTTAATCCACCCAAATAAAAATGGTACATTGACAAAACCAAACCTCCCACTTCTTCCTTCCTTCAAATCTCAATATCTCCCTTCTCAAGCACTAAGGCCTGAGAGGGTGGTACGGCTTGTGACAATACTCCGTGCAACTCCTCCGCCGCATCCACAATGATATCTATTTTCCTGGACCTTCTCTCCACCTTGGCAGTGCTATTAATCACCATAGCTATATAGGCCACAAAGTCCACCTTCTTAACCTTTACAATATATGGGTCCTGCTGGTGAAAGGCAACCCCTGCAGCCTGCAGTGAAGGCCTATCCACCACCATGGACTCTTCAGGAGCACCATTCGAACCCTCAACCCTTTTAACAGCCGCTCCATATGAAATGCTCTGGACAACCCTGACTTTGGCCACCTCATTCTCTTTCACCCTTGTCGGGCATTCCAAAGACGTGGCTTCGTGGTTCCCACCACAATTGCAACATTTACATCACTTTTAAAACACATGACATGAGCTTTTACACAACTTGGACATCTCTGCTTTTCCGTTCTGCAAACACTTGAAACATGTCCAAAAGCATTACAGTGATCACACTACATTGGTCTTGGGATAAATCCTCTGACTCTGTAGTTAATATACCCCAACTGCATAGGGAGAGACTCCATATCACAAAAAAAGAACAGATACTCTTCACCTTTTCATCATTCACCACACGATTCATCCAACGTGCATCAATCACTCCAGGAATATTTTTAATCTCTTCAACATCGACTTCCCACGAGACGCTAGATATTAACCCCTTGAGGGGTGCCCTGTTCTGAAGAGACACACACGACACTTGAAACTTATCAAATTGGGTGAGACGCAACACACGTTCCTTCTGATCCGCAGAAGTACAAAAAATCAAAACAAGCCCGCCTCTTGTGATCCTCACAGCCTTCACTTTACCCAGCACTCTCTCCACCAGTTTGGATATATCAAATGGAGTCTTCAAAATTGGTAATCCGATCAGCTGCTCATCATTAACAAACCGTACTCCTACTAGGTACGAAGGGACATTCTCAGCACTGTACACTACTTTGCTTTGTTTTCCATTCTTTTGGACAATATTCAAATTCACCTTGATTCTACCGCCATTAGATTCACAATCCACATCAGTGTCTGCTTCCGCCATCCTTCCTCCTGTCAACAATCTAAGCCAACCCCGTCTGTTTTGCCCCAGGTTTGGAAGTCTCTTTCTTATTGGTTTATTAATTAATTTACCGCCTGGTGATGTCAACAGGCAGGCTAAAACTCCATCCCACCTAAACAAGCTGACATTTCAGGTGGTCTTTTCAAACAGCTAAAAGGGCATTATCATTTTTTTAATTTCACGTTTTGTCTGCACTGGGCCATTAATTAGGAGTAATATACAAAAAGGAAAGATTGGAAGAGATTGAGTCAGACAGACTATGAGGTTGTTATTTTAATTGTTAATAACCAGATATATTTGTCTCTTCCTAGATCACCATGGACCAACGCCACCAGTCCCACCACAGACCACAACATCCAAACTCCAATCACCACGACAACCACCAGTCAACATTCAAGAGAGACATGGATGACAGTGGGAGAGGTCATTTCCAACACAAGCGCTTCAGACCCGGTCATCAGAACCATCACCAGGCTGGCCCTTCAACACCCCCATCCAGCCCCCCGACCCAGAGCCTGAGCGTACAACGACAGCTGTACGAGAGAGACTTCCCCTTATACAAACAGCCTGTGGAGGTGGGAAATTTCTCCCTGGACTCTGAGCGCAGGTTTTTCAACGACGCCCGGCAGCTGCGTTACTACATGGAGCCAGAGAAGAGTTGTCCTAACTTCGACCTGAGGGACGGGTACAGGGGCCGCTTCGTCAAGAGGGACGACAGGGTGAAGGAGAAACTGGACCACATCCTCAGATGGATCCTGGCAAACAGGTCCAAGCTGCAGTCGAAGGACACAGCTGCTTCTTCTTCCCCATGGTAAGCACCACTAGTGGCAGTTTAAGAGATGTTATTTTGATTGATACAATATTCATCAATAGCAACACTTTTCTGTCTAGTTATACAGATATAGGCCCACTAATCGTCAGTCATCAAGGCCATAAACATTTCAGAATGGGATCAGTTGTGATGGACACAATATTCAATATACACACACTCAATATCCTCAGTCAATCCTGTGATTCCCAGTCACCAGGAATGACTGGGACTATATTGACCTGTGTGTTCTGTCGGACATGTATTCTTTGATCGACCTCTCCTACCAGTGCATTAGGTGTAGACATTGTGACATGGCGCGGCCACCTGACCAAGCTGTTGACCACGCCCTATGAGACCCGGGAGGGCTGGCTGCTGGCTGTGACCAGGATGGGGGGGACACTGTACATCAGTGAGGTGGAGACCGAGGCTGCACGCCGGGACCGGGAGAACCGCACTGAGAGGCATGAGGAGATGATGTACTGGGGGTACAAATTTGAACAGTACACCTGTGCAGGTAGAGGATGGCTTCTTGTATTCCTCTTTTGCTGTATGCACTGAGTTGTTGTTATGTTGTGGTGGACTACTTTCAGATGGTTGATTGCTGATAGTTTTTATTGATGGTTTTATATCAATATGACTTGAGATTGGTGTACAGTACCTGAATAACCTACACCCAGACATGCATGATATTTCTCATACTTGGGATGCTAGTTGGAGGCCTTGGATGGTTTTGAAATGTCTCTAATCTTCTTTCAGATGACGCCCGGAGTCTTCCAGATCCAGGTGGGGTTGTGAACACCAACGAGGCCTTCTGCACTGTGGTCCAGACCCGGCTAGCTGAGCACAGATTGCTGTTCTCTGGCGAGGTGGACTGTCGGGACAAAGACCCCAAGGCCCCATCTCCTCCAGCCTGCTACATCGAGATGAAGACCTCACTGGAAATCTCCACCCCCAAACAACGCAGCAACTTCCACAGGTAATCTATCCCAGATACACTCTACACTAGCCCTACGGCCCTATTATGGAGATGATTGCACATCTATATCTTATATCTCTGGATATCTGCAGTAGGGCAATTCCATGTTAATGGAATTAGGCTGAGACTCAGATTTTTCACTTTAAAATGTATACCAAACAAAAGCTATTGATTTCAAAGTTTAACAAACCCTACAACTCTATGCACACTGACTATGTTGAACAATTTACACAGTAAAAAAAAACATTTACTTGAAAAACTGTGCAGGTGCAAAGTTTGGTAACATAATTACGGTAAAATCTTCCTCAGTTTTATTCTGTTACCAAACTTTGTATCTGCACAGTTCTTCCTGTAAATGTGTTTTTGTAACATTTTCTGTGGAAATTCTTAAAGTAGTCTTTGTGCATAGAGTTGAATGGTTCGTTAAACTTTTCAATTGTTTTTTTTATACATACATTTTAAAGTGAAAAATCGGAGTCTCAGTGTAATTCTGCTACCATGGAATTGCCCAGTAAGCAGCTCTGTTGTCCCCGTCAGGTAAAGACTGGCTGATGAATATACACAGAATGAGACTGGAACCAAAGCTAGCTCCTCACATCTTCAGTTGGAACATTTTCCCAAGAGAGTGAAAATGTGTGTTTTCTCTTGTGTATGTTCTCCATCCAGGTTTAAACTACTAAAGTGGTGGGCCCAGTCCTTTCTTCCTGGGGTGCCGCGAATCGTAGCCGGTTTCCGTGATCATGACGGAGTGGTTGTGTCTGTGGAGACTTACCACATCTCCAAGATATCTCAGCTTATCAAGGTACAGTTCGGGTTTTATTTTCTTCTGAAAAAGAACATACACATTTGTAACAAGTCTCATACCAGAAACCCAGTATGTCTGAGAAATATAGGATGCCTATTTTGTGAGTTTAAAAACAATGTGCATGCGTGTTTGTCCTAAGTGGTCGTCTCTATTCTCTCATATAGAATGAAACCAACTGCTGGAAGCCAACTGTCTGCATGAACTTCTGCTGTGAATTCCTGTCCTTCGTGAAGAGTGTGGTCACAGAAGACAATCCCAGGTGATGCTTGATATGGTCAAGATTCTTTTTACAGTACTTTTTTTTTTTTTTTAAGCTTAAGAGAACTTGCTATTGCATGCAGTCGAGTTTCCCTAGAAACGTTCTGACTCTAGTTAACTATGTTATTTCTTTCTCTCAGGGTGGTGCACCTGTTCTCATGGGATCCACACCGAGACGTCACCTACTCCATCCACAGAGACTCTCAGTACTCCTTCCTACCAGACTGGTACGTCAGGGAGATGACCAGTTCAACCAGTCGTGAGACACACCACCACCACCCACCTCAGACCTGATTCAGAACAAACCTGACAATGGCCCGTATTCACAGTGTCTCAGAGTAGGAGTGCTGATCTAGAATCAGTTCCCTCATCCTATTCATTATGATTTTGTTGGCAAAACTGAGCCTAGATCAGCACTCCTACTCTGAAACGCTTTATGCATACAGGCCCAGGTTTTCACCTTAGACCAGTATGGACTTCAAGCAATACTTGAACACTGAAACCTGTTATGATAATGAGGTAGAAACACACCAAGCACCCTGAAGGAGTAGGTGGGTTCTGACCGGTCGGTTGACGACGATAAAGAAACCCCTTTTATTGAACTTCCATTTTCCTCCCAGAGTGGCTGAGTTATATAGTGTGGATCAGCATTCACAAAGCAGCTTTTGGGACATTCTCATATATGGTGTCCAGGTTGAAAACATGTATTTCCTGATGGGTTGTGCCGTCTTTTTTAAAGGGATGTATTTACGTTTTTCACCTCATCTCTGATGTGTATCTTTTTTTAAATTACAAAATTCAGTGATTTGAATGTAACAGTTGCGGTTTGAAGTGTCTGCTCAAACTGTTGAACAATATTTCCATAACAAGATTTTTCATTTCCCAATCAAACATTTTATTATTATTAACCCCATGGGTATATCAATAAGTTATCATGTCCAGAAAATAAGTACATTAATTCATTACATTTTGTTAAAAATCAGCACAGTCAGTATGCGATGTGTGTCATCCATCTTTACAGTGCTATCAACAGATCTGGTCCATCACAGTTGCTAGTTCCTAGATTTGGAGGCACTTGGCATAAAGAAAGTACAATCTCAAGAATTCCAGTGAACAGTGACAATGCATGAGAACATCACATAGGTTTCAAAATGTTGCAGTGCAATTATAATTATCCCTCCCAAATGTACATGTATTGATTCTTCTAGTTGGCCCATTTTCATTTAACTAGTTTAGATTTTAATATAAACCCCTTCACATGTTCTGTGCAAGTAAAGTAGACAAGATATATTCCAAGATGGCATGGAAAAATTCATAGTATGTGTTTCGATTTGAAAAAATCTTAAGCCCAATCTAGAGATTAAGAATATTTTATTATTTGTCCAAACTTAAATAGGTTTAATTAAAAAAAGTATTCTGTTATATTAAAAAGTGTTTATAAAATTTCTCTATAGATAGACCCAACCAACTCTCCTTTTCATCTGGGTTATGTCCATTAGGGCACGCAACAGAAAACGTTAATGCAACGTAAAATGAAAATGAGTGTTTCATGTCCCTCCCTGTTTCAGTCCGGTTGGTGCCTAATGAACACGAACCTGTTGAACAGCAATGAGGTAAAACTGACTGAACATTTCTGGCTGCAGTTTTGTGAAACATGACGTAACACTCATCTAATACTGACACCCTAAATAAATATAGCCTTTTGTCTTGCAGATATTCTTCTAGGTTAAAATCCTATGGTAAATCAGTATTTTAATAATAACTAGGGCCCAGAGTTTTTCCTTGTTAGGTGGTTGGGGAAAACTCCTTTAAATAAGAGAAGCACTTAGAATAATGGTTATTGTATTCTGAATTAAATCATAAGACTGATGTGAGGAATGGTTGACTGGCTTCATTAAAGGCAATACAAGGCAATTATGACACAGGAGTAAAAAAATTAATAAATGGGATCCCCTTCTAGTAAGTCATTGAAGCCAAGATATGTGTGTTGTATTGGACACGAATGGACATAATGTATGACACCTCAGAAAACTCAAGTCATACAAAACACTCATAGCATCCCATGTTTTTTCTGTCCTGTGCCAATAGTACCACAGATAGCCTTTGTTTGATCGGCTTGGCCATTCAGCACATAGGCACCAAACTGTCACAGCCAGCTGAGAAATCAACACCTACCTTTCAAGAGCAGTAACATCTCTCCGGAAAGGGTTCACAGTGGTCCTAATGCAGGGCTGAAGGAGCACTGTGACATATACAGAGTTTTAAATATAATACAGTCATGTGTGCAAATGCCTTGATGCTTCACTCAAGCCCTCAAGGTTCTTGAGAATATTGCTCTTAACTAGCTTGTGTGTTACTAGTCGGTTGACTACAGCAGAAACACTTTTTGGCATCTTCTTGCCAAACAACTATTTGGCAAGTCAATGTCTAAACCAAAAGGAGTTGGCTAGTAAAGCTGATAGTTCTTATCAGCACTCCAAAGTAATAGGGGTGGAGAAAGCATAACTGACAGTAGAAAAAGATTCAAATGTAATGCCATTCATTCAGGTATAATAAAAAAGTGTAATCCTAGTAATTGCCACAGAATGCATATGCCAGACAGTTATGCCACCTCCTACAAGACCACGCACAACCGTTTCCAGAGAGATTCACCCATAGTGGCAGCGTAGGGAAGACAGGTGTGAATACTGTATGTGGAATAAACCCCTGAGTGTAAGGGGAAGAGAGAGGAGAGACAGACCATCTCTGGTTGAGGTGTATGTTGGGAATGAGGAGAGGGAGGTTGGGATGGGGAGTCTGTAGCCCAGTGGTCACCAACCCTCATCTTGGAGACAGGTGTGTAGGCTTTTGTTCAAACCCAGCACTAACACACTTGAATCAAGTTCCAGATACTCGTAATATCTATAGGTCAATCTGAACGTTGAACCAGGTGTTTCATTGCTGGGCAGGAACAAAACCCGCCACACCCTGTAAGCTCCTCTCCAGGACCAGGGTGGGTGGTGACCACTGTTGTATAGCCAGTGCAGGTTGAGGTCTAGGGGCTAGGTGTCCTAGCTCACACCTCAGTGCTTCAGTTTCTTGTTGATGCCCATGACCTTGAAGGTGGCTGCGGTGATCTTCTCGTACACCACGAACATGAGGGCTGCCGTTAGTACCGTCTGGAGCAGTTTGGCCTCCAGGCCTTTGTATAAGCCCAGCACACCATGCCTCCTGCAGGGGAGAGGACAGGGAGGGAACATATCGATGGATCAACACAAGATGCACTCATTGGCACAAGACGGTCTGAAAATGTCCAACCAAATTGCTGTAGTCAGACTGTTGAGATGCAAGAGTTCCATTGTGTGTGTGATCTACTCACTTGATTCTGTCCATAAGTAGGTAGACTATGTTTCGGAGGCTGCCCAGTAGACCTCCCTTGCCCTCAGCTTTGTGCTGCCCAAACTGGGGGGAGAGAAAGACAGTAGTTTAATCAACAAAATGAGCTGTGAGTACAGGAAATATGATGGACTTCTTTTACTGAGCAGTACACGTGATCATGATATCGGATACTGTTTGATGGGTAACGTAGGGGAAACACTGCTATGAGTGTTCAGTTAGCAGGTGTGTGCGTTTATATATACACAAGTGTGCATGTGTATTTGTTTACCCTTAAAATGGCCTGGACGGTCTGCAGGGGGTACGTTGCCGTGGTAGCGATGGCCTTGGCCACAGCTCCAATGAGAAAGATCTCTGCTGATGTGATCTAGGAGCAGACAAAAACCAAAACAAAGGCTTAAACTTTCAGCATGACTGACACTCAGATACACCACAGAGGTGTCAAAGCTGGCTCCCTCCTCTCTCCTTCCCTCTCTCACCTTCCTCCCTCCTCTGCCTGCTCTCCTCTTCATGGCTTCATAGAACATGAACACGACTGCAGGGTTGAAGACCAGCACCAGAGAAGGCAGTGTACCGTTCCAAAGAGTCCCCACTCCCTCGCTGGCTATGATCTGCGAGAAAGCATCTGCAATGGAAAACACACACATTGTATGATGATAGTAAGTCACAATTTTATTGGTACTGAAAAGAGAAAAGTGAATAGCAAAAACAGACAAACACACACCAAAGATGCCTCTGTAGTGGGTCTGCTGGAGGTCTTCGTTCCGGAACTTTGCCCCCTGCAGCTTGAGCCGGGTGTTGACCACCCACATGGGCGTGGTCAGGAGCACGTTCACTGCCCCTGGGGGAGAAACAAAACACAGGCAACAGAGAGACATTTAAATACATTTCAATATGGAGGTCAAATCTGCTTTCTTCAATTCATCTCTCTGTTTATCGCCTCTCAGACTCCCCTTCCTTAATATAACTGCAACAATGACTTAGAGTCCATCTAAATAGGTGTCAGTAGGTTTGAAATGGTTGACAGTGACAATTTGGCCATTACCACTAAAAGGTCTCTGTTTGGTCCTCCTACCTGAGATGAAGCCCATGAGGAGGTCTTTGCCTGGTCTGGACCGGCCCTGGTTACCCACCATGACTTGCTTCAGCGTGTTGAAGGTGTAAAAGTAGACAAAGTTGGAGCAGCACAGACTGGAAATGACTGGGAACCAGCCTCTGTACAGAGACAACCTGGGAGGGGAGAGGAGAGAGACCAGGGAAATCAGCATAGTTAGTCGTTGGGCCATGGGAACCCAGGACAAGGAGTTTTTCCTGTGCATGTGATCTGACTGGGAAAAACTCCTGGCCCGACACATAAAAGTAGTCATAGATATACAATGGGTGGAATGGACATATCATGGAACATTGCTTTGAACTGAAAGGAATATCCATTCTACTACTCCATTCTGGATCTATGGGTACAACAGCACAATGGAAGCCCTGTATGCAGTGGTACGAGGCCAGCTTGCCTTTCCAGTCGACTACTCAAATCAAACTACGGTGGATTATAAATTGTAGTAAAGTATGTGTACAGTTCCATACAATACTCACAGGCCTTCCTCCTTTGCTATTTCAGCCAGGAGAATGACAGTGGATTTGGACTTCCGATTCTCATCCACTGCAACAGAAAACGAAGGCAGAAAAGGCATTGTTATCCTTCTTGCATTATTGTAACATTGTAAGTAGTCTGCAGCTCTGGTATGCTCATGCAGTGGTAAGGTCTCTCTTGTCAATGTTTCCACTTCTATATATCCATCACGCATCTCCTTGTGAACTCACTGACCCTTGGGTGCAGAGTCCAACGTTATAGCAGACAAGTATGGCCACGCTGACAACAAAGATGGTGGTATATACTGACTGCTAATAATCAATTACTCTAAAACTCACCCTGAAGTCTGATCCTTGCTGTATCCAAAGGAAAGAAGACAGACATCGCCGTCATGCTACCCTAGAAACAAATGCATTATGAGATCGTTAAACCTAAGTTACACGACAAATTCACAAAGTTGATACAATCTGACACAGTATGCTAACTAACAAACTAGCTAGTGGCACTGGTTGTGACATTTCAGTGTAGCTATTCGAACGTTTTGGCAGTCTTATTATAAAAGGACTGTTCATGTATAGGCAAACTACGTTGAGATGTCCTTACCACTGCACCTGCCACGGCGTGTACCAGTGTTTCATACGACAGAAGGCTGATCGCCGAGGCACCATTGTCGGACATCTCTGATTCTTTAGGGCCGCAGACCTTCGAGCTAGTACTAAAGCCAATCAATCATCGGTCAGCGACCGCAGTGCACCCCGTTCAAACAAACGGTGGTCAAGTTTCTTGCCGTGAGACTGGTTGTGGTGGAGTAAGTTTACCCAGCTGTCATTCCATGTTGAGTGGCTGAGTGACTTTTGTGTGCTCTGACAGTGCCATAAACAAGGCACATTTCGTTGTGTCTTCTTATTCTTCTTCTTCTTCAGTGGGGGTTTATCGGCGGTTGGCATCCAACGTTATGGTGCATTACCGCCACCTACTGTACTGGAGTGTGAGCCAGAGACAGGGAGAATCTAAATCCTACCTACCAGCCCCGTTCCTCTTAAAAAATAAAAAAATATTTGAGACTATATATAATGACGTTCTACTCAATATACTATTTAAACTAATTTCCTGTATCCCCTTCTCCCTCATACTAGATCTCATCCTCTTTCTTTCCCTCTGATACTGCCCACACTGTAGCAATACATGCTCCACGGTCTCTGTTTCCTGACAATAATCACACTTTCCTGTTGGATGCTTTCCTATCACATTTAATGTCTTATTCAACTGGCTGTGTCCCACCGCTGCAACTTGCCCATGCCCCCTCCGCTTCTCCTTCACCCAAATTCAGATAGCTATGTTCTGAAAGAGCTGCAAAATCTGGACCCCTACAAATCAGCTGGGCTAGACAATCTAGACCCTTTCTTTCTAAAATTAGCTGCCGAAATTGTCGCAACCCCTATTACTAGCCTGTTCAACCTCTCTTTCATATGGTCTGAGATCCCCAGAGATTGGAAAGCTGCCCCGGTCATCCCCCTCTTCAAAGGGGGTGACACTCTAGATCCAAACTGTTACAGACCTATATCCATCCTGCCCTGCCTTCGAAAGTATTTGAAAGCCAAGTTAACAAACAGATCACCGACCATTTCGAATCTCACCATACCTTCTCTGCTATGCAATCTGGTTTCCGAGCTGGTCATGGGTGCACCTCAGCCACGCTCAAGGTCCTAAACGATATTATAACCGTGATCGATAAAAGACAGTACTGTGCAGCCATCTTCATCGACCTGGCCAAGGCTTTCGACTCTGTCAATCACCGCATTCTTAATGGAAGACTAAATAGCCTTGGTTTCTCAAATGACTGCCTCGCCTGGTTCACCAACTACTTCTCAGATAGAGTTCAATGTGTCAATTCGGGGGGCCTGTTGTCTGGACCTCTGGCAGTCTCTATGGAGGTGCCACAGGGTTCAATTCTCGGGCGACTCTCTGTGTATATCAATGATGTCGCTCTTGCTGCTGGTGACTCTCAGATCCACCTCTAAGCAGATTACACCATTTTGTATACATCTGGCCCTTCATTGGACACTGTGTTAACAAACCTCCAAACGAGCTTCAATGCCATACAACACTCCTTCCATAGCCTCCAATTGCTCTTAAACACTAGTAAAACTAAATGCATGCTCTTCAACCGAATGCTGCTTGCACCCGCCCACCCGACTAGAATCACTACTCTCGGCGTGTCTGACCTAGAGTATGTCAATGGCGATACTGCCATTTACTGGAATGGAGTACTATAGGCCACCTGAGATTAATGCGGCTTTCTTTTTTGCGCACGACTTCAAAAGCGCGCCCAGCCAGGTATGGCCACTGTCCTGTTTTATGACCTCATTACATTTTATTAATAAAAGCCTACTGGAGATATAGATGCACAATTCATTGAGCCTATTTTGACTATATATGTCTCTGTCATTGCCATTCCATCATTTAGCAACTTGTAACCTAGGACTATACAGAAGCCTAATAACTTCTCTCAGCATATCCATTGTAGATTATTGAACTTCCTCAATGGGACAGCATGAAAATCCCAAATGGACTTTGCTTTTGTTTTATGGCAGTGAGTTCCACCGATATGATGACGCCCAGCGCTCTGACCAAACCACTCACATGCGCAATTGTTGCGCTCCAACGCGCTGGAAGGAAGAACAAAATGCCAGACTTCTTCTGCTAAAAGACGTGCCTTTTTATTTTATTACACAGTGTAGTGTTCTAAACCCAGAGTAAACATGTCTAGGTACCACAAAGCAGCGATCGATGGCTACCTGGACCTCTTGAAAGAGGCCACCAGGAAAGACCTGAATACTCCGGACGAGGATGGGATGACGCCTACGCTATGGGCTGCTTTTCATGGACACGCCGAGGCCCTTCAACTTATATGTAGCCGAGGGTGAGTGCAATTGATATTCAGAAGTCATAGCCTACCTTCCCATTCCTAACACCCCAAAACTTTTTAGTGGCATATTAGCAATGAATGCCTATTGTGAAGTTTTTACAATCACTAATTACAATCAATTGAAACCTAATTCAGAAATGATTTTTCTCATAACTGATTTAACTCATTCTAAACTATTAGAATGTGAATTTATTTGGACCTCTTTTGATTTAATTTACCCTATGTATGTTTAGATCAATTTACTTCTAATCCAATGAAAAAATAGCAGAAACTGCCTGACACAAGGAGGAAGGACAGAAGCTATAGGTTATGGTTGGCCTTTTGACATATTCCTAGATGTAGTCCTTGTCCATTACTGTCAGTACCTTTCTGAATTCTTCCTCCTATGAGGACTGATATTTCCAATCGCAAATCTACATTGATGAGTTGCTAAAACACAATAATAAAGGTTTCCTCCAGTAACCTACAAAAATAGTCACTAAACCTATAGTACCAATCCAATGAATACTGTAATATTTGATCTCCTTTAATATTGATGACACGTTTTGTTAGGAGGGATACAGTTCTGCAGTTGAAGGATAAAAGTTTGGAAGTGGCCTAATGCTGATCCTATTCCCAGGACTGCTGCTCGTTTCCAAAACAAACACTTGATCGAAGAGCAAAGGTGGGCTTTATTGTTAATTCATGTGATAGAAGGAATGCCCAACACTTCATTCCTGATGCCCATAAACCTACTAGAGACTATCCTCATTCAGGATTCAAAGGTGAGAGAGTTAGCTGTGTCTCATGGGTCTCAACCTCATAGGTTTCTCTATCAACTAAAACCATTGTCCTCAAATAGTGACTGATTTTAACTATATTCTACAATGTACTGTATGTCCATGTCACATTTCATCCATGTTCTTTTTGTACATTAGACATGCATGCCACTCTGAAACCGTCCCCCCACAGCCTTTTAGACCACATTTTCCCATGAGCAGAGCCAAATAGTTAATCAGCCAAGGGGAATCATGTAATTAATGACAAACAATAGAGCCCTTCATTTCCCTAACAGCTTTCCCCTGCTTTCATACTGCAGGAAAAAAACAGACCTGATTTTCATCTCTCTTATTTATTTCTGTCAAGATGACAACCAAGACCAATTGCTTGATTATTTAATTGAAGCACACTAACAATGGATTATGAAGTTTACACAACATTGAACCAGTGTATATTTTTACAAAATTGTTGGAATGATGTCTATCATACTCTGGCAGTGGTAAATTCTGTGACCCAAATTTCATCTTTGTGATCATAGCAGCGTATTTCCATGTTGGGCGTCAGCAGTGGGATGTACTGCAACAAACTCGGTTTTATGATCACCTGTTGCTAAGATACTGCAATCGGGAGTTTTATAGAGGTAGTGATGGAACATAGGGAGGACTTTCATTCTTAATGGCTTACCAATTAACCCATAAGGTAGGGTTGGTTTGTACTTCATGAGTATAGCGTTGGTGACAGGGCTTTTTCATTCATTTATTTAAAGGAATGCTATTATACAACATCAATTAATGACTCATTATTTAGTTTAAGTGTTGTTCATTATATTTCATTGTTAGATACAGGTTGATATGGACATCTGTGTTAATATGTATACATCGCTATATACACTGAGAGGACAAAACATTAGGAACACCTGCTATTTCCATGACATAGACTGACCAGGTGAATCCAGGTGAAAGCTATGACCCCATGTTGATGTCACCTGTTAAGTCCACTTCAATCAGTGTAGATGAAGGTGAGGAGACAGGATAAATAAGGATTTTTAAGCCTTGAGACAATTGAGACATGGATTGTGTATGTGTGCCATTCAGAGGGTGAATGGGCAAGACACACGATTGAAGTGCCTTTGAACGGGGTATGGTAGTAGGTACCAGGCACACCGGTTTTTCATGCTCAACAGTTTCCCGTGTGTATCAAGAATGGTCCACCACCCAAAAGACATCCAGCCAACTTGACACAACTGTGGGAAGCATTGGAGTCAACATGGGCCAGCATCCCTGTGGAACGCTTCCAACACCTTGTAGAGTCCATGCCCAACAAATTGAGGCTGTTTTGAGGGCAAAGGGGGTGCAACTCAAGATTAGGAAGGTGTTCCTAACGTTTTGTAGACTGTGTAGATATAGGTTTTTCACAATATTATAGTCAGTGTCAGTATCGTCTACAGGAGAGATGATCAGTATCCTTAAAAATACCTTAAAAATACAGAAAACACGTTTCACGTTATTCACTGTCACAAATAATACGGTTTGAATTTACATTTCTCCCGAAGTTGTAAACCTCCATGCAAAATATATAATAATAAACAAATTACAGGTCATTCAAACTGAGAAGTAAAAGTAATCACTCTTAAAACAGTTAATTTGCCTTGCATTTCAAAATGGTCCGGCAGTGACAACCATTATAGAGTCAGTCAGTGTCAGTATCGTCTACAGGAGAGATGATCAGTGGGGTTAAGTTTTTAACGTCATCTTTACCACAGGGGATGAAGATGGGATATCGTTTCTCAGTGAAGGTGGAGCCGGTGAAAGAGTAGATATGAGACCTGGCCTCCATGTTGTAGATGAAGACCTGACCTTTATCATAATCCACAAATACCCCCACCTTTTGGGGCTTCTCTCTCAGGGAGAGCGAGACAGGGAGGTTAGTGAGAATCATGTAGTCATTCCCATTCCTCAGCCACAAAATCCAGGATCCATCCTCAGGACTCACTGTTCTCATCCCCTTCCTGTTGATGGGCTCTCTGGCCACTCCTAAATCCCATTCAGTCTTCCCCTTAACCTGCACCGCATTGTAAAATCTCCCTGAGGAAAAGCCCCCCTTTCCCGGAACACTGAGAAAAGTATCAAACCTCTCTGGGTTGGCAGGCAATGTCTGATGTATGTTTCCATGTTCCACTTGTTTCCCATCCTCAGATAGAATGAGACGATGATGTGCCATATCAGGGTCTAGAGTCACATCCACTGCATGATTTTGGATGGTTTCAAGATCTTGACTCCCTTTCCTGTACACAAAGTCTAACTGATTAATGAGTACAATCAGCTGACGATTGAGGTCATCTTTGATCTGATCCTGCTCCTCAGTTAGGTTTTTCAGCTGACAGTTGAGGTCTTTTTCGATGCGATCCCTCTCCTGAATGAGACCCCTTCGCTCACCATGAGCTAAAATGCATTCATCTTTGACTACAAGTAGTTCCTTGGTGAGGTTTTCATTTTCCTGAATGTTGTCATCTGACTGCTGTTTAACTTGATCCTTTATATTTAGACGGACGATGGTCACAGATAGTCCAATCACAGTAGAAGCAACCAATAAGATAAACACTAGAGAGCATCCTCAAAATATCCCTTCATGATTTTCATCTTCATATATATACTTAACACACCGGAACAGCTGACTAGGGACGTGAAATTCAGTCTTCATCACTTCATTGAGCGGGCTCTGTTGAACAATACATATACAATCGGTTGCTGTTAGTCTGGCAGAGTAGAATCCCTCAGTGTTCCTTTATATCTCTGGATACCAACCATATAATTTGGCTCCCTTGGTTCTCTCACTGTCCCGGATACCAGCCTTTAGATTCACACCTCAGAATAATTGCTACCCTTCTCAGTGCCTCAATTGAGATCACTGGCTGGGATCCAACAGCTACAGACACGAGGGTAGACAGGATTTAAAATACTGAAGTGAGGTTTTGAGAAAATAAATACATGTTATAGAGGTAGACTGTATAGGTTATTGCATTTGACAGAAAATGAAACCTTACCTTTAATACGGACTTGAACGGTGAAATCATCATACCCGGACTTTGCCTTAGTAAAGCATTTGCAAAAACCCACCATCATTGCCTTGTACCCTGGTCAGTTTCAAGGAGGTGTTGCCTCTTTTCAGTTAATCTTTAAACAGTGCTGTCCTTCCCTGTAGGAGACCATCTGATCCTTATAGTTGTCTCTTCCGTATTGGTAAAGATGGACAGCAGTGCCTGGGTGGGGGAGTCTAAACCACTCCATTCTCATATCCTCAACATTGATACCGGGTTTGAGGTAGAGGTCTTCACGGGTCCAAAAAGTTCCGAAATGGATCCGTGGCTTTCCCACCCGACCCGAAATGCATCTAAAATCAATTAAAAAACAGCGACCCGTTCCGAAAAGGCCAGTGGAAAAACAGACACAAACAGACCAGTGCCGGTTCAGATCCTAGAGACCCGTTCAGATCCAAGAGTAGAAAGAGAAAGAAACCTCAGACTGGGCGCTGCCAGCACCATCAATAAACAAGCGATATTGGCCAAATTATCCACAGTTACGTGTACTTAAAAACTGCCTACGATTACACAAATTATCAAGACAATGAGTTCCATAACTTCAAATCAGGAAGTCAACACTGTCATTTCAGCGTTTAGAGAAACAATACACACAGAAAAACTGTGGAATAATCCAAAAGCAAATGTACCAAAGTCAGTGTTCCTAGTTGAACAAAGGCAGCAGTGCAACTTTGTCCATGTACTCATGTACTCACTTTTTGACTTACAACATAAAACCTGTCCAACTCCATACCTTACACACCTACAACGATAAGCAAAAGCTGAACAGAAGTCACAGGGATAAAACATATTTGATCCAATCTTGTGTCTTAGAAATGTATGATTGGTTGGTTGGTTAATTGGTTGGTTGATCGATTGACAGATGTTTCTGTGTTCTTCCAGAGGGGACCCCAACAGGAGCGACATCTGGGGCAACACGCCACTGCACCACGCCGCCACCAACGGTCACATGCACATCCTCAGCTTCCTGGTCAACTTTGGCGCCAACCTCTTCTCCCAGGACAACGACTTCCACACAGCTATGGATGTGGCAGCATCACGCGACCGCATGGACTGCGTGCGATTCCTGGACAGCGCCGCATCGCAGCAGACCATCCAGAACGCCAAGAAAGTGGCCAGGCTGAAGAAGGAGGCCACCAAAGAGGCGGAAACGCGGGTGAAGCTGTGTGAGAGGGTCAAGAAGAGACACCAGAGCAAGATGGATAAAATGTACCGAGGGTCAGTGTCAGAGGCCAGCATGGCATCTCCGTCGTTCTCCAAGACAGGCACCATCAACAGTGTGAACGAGCAGTTCTCCAAGCTGATCGCCTCCGATACCTCGGGCTCGCTCACGGCCCGGTCGAAGGGGACGCTCCAGAGGGTATTCGGGAAAAAGGATAAAGGAACGACGGAGAAGGTGGGAGGGGATGGGAACGTCATCTTCGTCAAGCAGGAGAACGGCACCCTCTCTGGGAAGCCCGAGTTCATGGGTGTCTTCTCCGAGCAGGACGAGATCGAGGAGGAAGAGGACCAAGGGATGAGAAGATTTGGGGATGATGAAGTTAATGACGATGACGAGGGAGGAGATGGCCCAGGAGCCAAGGAGTCCATCTTCAAACGGCCCGGCCTGGGGAACATGGTCTTCAGGAAGAACTTCTCCATGGAGATGGGGATAGAGCCCGATGACTTCCCCAGCGGGAACAATGAAAACCTGGGCTTCCTCATCCGCAGGGAGGGGTTCGACACAGAAGGGGAGGACACAGGCTTTGTTGAGGACGAGGAGGACAGCGACCTGCCCTGGAACCAGGAGGAGATAGGCCTGGATGACGACCAGGATGAGGAGACCTCCCCGCTGGACGCCTTCCTCTCATCCATCTCCCTGCCAGACTTCTCCCCAGCCTTCACCCGCGAACAGCTGGACCTGGAGGCGCTGATGCTCTGCTCCGACAACGACCTCAAGGGCATCCGCATCCAACTGGGGCCCCGCAAGAAGATCCTGGAAGCCGCCGCTCGCCGGAAAAGTGCACTGGAGAAACCTGGCGCCATCAAGGACAGCTTTCTGTGATGAAATTATGATATTGGAGGTGGTTGAATATGGCTGAATGGAGCAAGTAGGATGGATGCAAGTAGGAGGATGTAGATTGACAATACCTTTGAATGAAAGAAGTTGAGAGTTTGAGGTGGAAATAAATATCCTGGTTTTCTATCCTTTAAAGACAAATTCTTGAATCTTTCTCTTATCTTGGAATTAGTCAATGGGCCAGGAGTGACTGCAGCCCGTCATTACTTTGCTATAGCTGCCGCAGGACTAACGTTAGCATTGATTACCCCAAAACAATGGGGTTCAATAGGCTGGATAAGACTGGCACTGTGACGAGAAAATGGGAGATGGTTGAACTGAGCAGGAATGCCATTTAGATTAATGGAGTGGCAATAATACCACCACAACCACCACCACCATCTTGCAATACCAATTCATGAAGGAAGAAGGAAGAAACACTGCCAGATTTCAAACACCATTTGAGCTGCATGCTCTCATTGGCATGTCTCTGAGAAACACACAACTAATTTTGAATAATGATGTAATGTAAGAGCCTATTAAATGGAAACTGTTCTGATCTTGATTTTCTTGTTCCCTCTTTTGATGATTGATAGAAAGGTGACGACATTGTGATTAATTCAGTTGTGCCATCTTGTATGTGAATTTTAATTGCTGTGATTTGTACATTGATAGATTTTTTTATGACAACCAAAATGAATAACGTTTTTTAATCAGTTGATCAAAGGGTATCTCTCTATTTCACTTACACAGGAACATTGAAAAGAATTATTGTTTATTCCTTTGTATCAACATTAAAAATTCATTTTGTGAAATTATTCCATATGAGTTGCATGCATTAATGTTCTCTGACTATGGATTTTTTGGCACTTGCTGAATCACTGATGAAGTAGATAAATACCATGCAGAACTGTAATGTGCCATGAGTTTCTCCTTACCACGTGACCTGACCAGGAAAAACTCTGAGCCCTAGTAATGTGAATCTAGCCTTTGTTGCCACCCAATTAAAAAAATATCTTAAATGTTTATTAGACACATAGCTCGTATGATAGAGAGGCAGACAGAATGAATCCTAGCAGGCCACGGTCAGGAGGTTCTTCTGACCCAGTCAACCAGGCAATGAAGGGAAGAGGAGTCACCTGCACCAGCAGGCAGCACAGACGGAAAGCTTTTGATTCTGGCTACAATGGAGAGGACACAGAGAGAGGGAGAAGACAAGTTCATGCCAATTATCTACATGTCTGGTGGACAACTTGTCATGGTCAGGATGATCAAGTATCACTTAAGTCTAAAATGTTTTCCTTATGAAACTTTCTAGTAAGGCCCCGTGTAGCTCAGTTGGTAGAGCATGGCGCTTTGCAACGCCAGGGTTGTGGGTTAGATTCCCACGGGGGGCCAGTATGAAAAAATGTATGCACTCACTAACTGTAAGTCGCTCTGGATAAGAGCGTCTGCTAAATGACTAAAATGTAAAAATCTGAATAGTTGTTTTCACCTGAACTGTAAGTGGACTACAACCAGTATTGTATGTACCAGTGTGCAGATTTTGGTCATTATATGAAATCAGACTATGTCATACATTGCATAGGATCACCACTGACATTTTCAAAGTTTATCTCTGATGTAACCATGAGTCACTGGAGTGGTATTATGGCTATTGGTGATAATATGTGGAGTTACATCTTTTGTCGAGTTACACCTAGGTGGAGCTTCAAATTAGATAAAAAATACAGTATGACTAACTGGATATACCCAAAATGTGTTTTATTACATTATACTTTGAACAGGTACATGATGGATCAACCTTTTAGGGTGTAACCTTACATGCTCAGTTGGTAGAGCATGGCGCTTGCAACGCCAGGGTTGTGGGTTCGATTCCCACGGGGGGCCAGTATGAAAATGTATGTACTCACTAACTGTAAGTCGCTCTGGATAAGAGCGTCTGCTAAATGACTAAAATGTAAAAATGTAAATGCGTAACCAAGCAAGGACCTTCGAGAACCTAAACAGCAGGGGGCGATAAGGAGCTCTGTTTTACTTTGCTGTACTTCAAAAGAGAGAAAATAAGACATGGCGTCTGGTGGTCACGACTCTTGATAAACAATTTTATCGGTCGAGACCTGACAAATTTGGATTGTTCTATTGATACGGCAATGTTTATCAGGTAATGTAACATATTACCACGATCTCAGGGTAGAAGTGCACGGTCTGCTGTCTTAGAATTTGAGCAGTAAAGACAATTTTTAGGAGGCAAGTGTCGATCATCATTTAACTTAGCAGTTGTCAGCAGTGTCAGTCAGCGCTTTCCAGAAATCTTCGGCAAAAACAAACTAGCTAGTTAGTTTTTTAATCACATTCATTGTGATTAGTCACATGAATGGCATCTGTAGTGTTCTAATTTGAGTTTCAATGCACTATTTCAATCGAGAGATTCAGCTTGCTTCCTCAAATATAATTATTGCTTTGGTTGAAAATTGTGTTATTGCCATGACAAGGGGGAAATGTCATTACTACAATATGTTGTGTCAACTGGAATGCATTATCTGGTCTTGAAATTGTACTAGACACTTGTGATGCTGCTATGAATTCCCTCACTGCCACCTCTTTATATATATATATATATATATATATATATATATATATATATATATATATATATATATATATATTATTATTTGTTATGGAGAGGGCAGTATATGACAGGAGACTGTTGCCCCAGTGGACTGAAAGGATTCTTGACAGGACTGAAAGGATTCTTGACAGGCCAGCTGGGGGAAAATACACTGTAGCCAGCAGATCCAACCGTTTTGCTTACAGCTGCACTAGGGTCGGACAGCATTCCTGTGTCGATTTTAAAGACTGCATGCTCAGTCAGACACAGCATTTACTGCGATGCGGCTCTGAAGAAGTCAGGGCATTCATACTTCTTGCAATTCGCAGAGCTGTTGTCAGGGAAGGGAGTTTGTGTTTATACAGGACATACCGCCAACCAATCATGTCAATGCAGAGCTATACAGAGCTATTATTCACATAATTACAACATTTTGGAGGCGCACGGCATCGCCGTACGGAGCTTGATTTGGCCTCCACAGACCTCCGGAGGCTCCGTTATTGCGTCACACCCTTCATATGGAGCCTCCCGACTGCATTGTCGGATCAAGTATAAATCTGCTTTAAGACACCGTGGCACCGGCACGAGATATGGCTCGGAAAACATACCTCAATCCAGGGATGAGAAATGCATTGTACTCTGAATTTTCCCATTATCCAAACTGTTCCACCGAGAAGATTGCAACGACTGCTAGTTTTTCTGGAAAAAGTGTCACTGGAGTGGTATTATGGCTAGGTAGCAGAAGCCACAGCAGCCATTTTGGTTGTTCAACGCACCATGCCATTCCATAATGGCTGCTGTGGCTACCGCTAACTAGCATGAGGTCGGTGTAACAGTTGGGATGCTGGGAAAATTACATATACAACACATTTCTCATCCCTGGATTGAGGTATGTTTTCCGAGCCATTTCTCGCGCCGGCTCCGCAGTGTCTTAATCTACACAGGAATGCTGTCCGACCCTAGTGCAGCTGTAAGCAAGTGGGTCAGATCTGCTGGCTAAAGACACTGTAGCCTACTGTCTATCTGCCTCTTCCTCCCCTACAGACTTGACTAAAGTGAAAGGATGGCCGAAATCATTGCTGTGAACATCTCGGCCACATCCCCCTCTGCCACCTTCTTCCTGCCCCCATCTCCTGTCATCGAGGACTCTGGCTTTCCCCTGGCCTCGCTGGACAGTGAGGACTATGTGTTCGTGGAGGCCAGGCACCCCAACAAGGTCCTGGAGGGTCTGAACAGCCTACGTCTCAACAATGCCTTCTGTGATGTGACACTGTGCTGTGGGGGGCAGGAGTTCCCCTGTCACCGCATCGTACTGGCTTCCTTTAGCTCCTACTTCCAGGTATGGACAGTGGTGTACAGTACAACTATATTAATCACCTCAGGGAGTGTTGAAGTTATCATTGGGAAAAGAGTACAAAACCATATTGTCCAAGAGCAGACATAGAAAGTTGCATACACTACAAGGGCAGCAGGTAGCCTAGTGGTTAAGAGCATTGGGCCAGTAACCGAAAGGTCGCTGGTTTGAATCCCTGAACCAACTAGGTGAAAAATCTGTTGATGTGCCCTTGAGCAAGACACTTAACCCTGATTGCTCCTGGATAAGAGCGTCTGCTAAATAACTAAAATGTATATGTAAATTAAATTGTGGTGTAGATATTCAGGGGGAAAAACAGTAGACGTGAATGTTTTAGGACATTTTAAAAGGCATTTCCTGCAATTCTGCACAGTTTGACATGACTTACTATGCCTCTCTTGAGTACAAGTGGAAGGATAAGTCAGCACCATCATGAATGAAGGTATTTCGAGGCAAATACTAAGAAGACACAAAAGAAGAAGACTGAGTTTTATTATAATTATGAATATTTACATATAAAAAAGTTCCTGCAATTCTACAGTCTGACATGATTTTATGCCCTGGCCTCTTGAGGGCTACTTGAAAGGATAAGTCACCATCATCAATGAAAGTATTTCAAATATTAATAATACACAAAAGATGACTGAGTACTATTATAATGATGCACATTAATATTTACATAGGATATCATATACTAAGTTGATCATACATTGACTATCAAGTTTTGTAGTTTTCATAGTTTACAGGTGGAGGTTGAGCTAAAACATACCTTGAACTAAGGACTGGCTGAATGCCTGTTGGAGAGAGAAAGAGAGTCAGGGAGAGTCTCCATTGAAACTGTAAATTACACTGCTCAAAAAAATAAAGGGAACACTAAAATAACACATCCTAGATCTGAATGAATGAAATAATCTTATTAAATACTTTTTTCTTTACATAATTGAATGTGGAAATCAAATTTATCAACCCATGGAGGTCTGGATTTGGAGTCACCCTCAAAATTAAAGTGGAAAACCACACTACAGGCTGATCCAACTTTGATGTAATGTCCTTAAAACAAGTCAAAAAGAGGCTCAGTAGTGTGTGTGGCCTCCACGTGCCTGTATGACCTCCCTACAACGCCTGGGCATGCTCCTGATGAGGTGGCGGATGGTCTCCTGAGGGATCTCCTCCCAGACCTGGACTAAAGCATCCGCCAACTCCTGGACAGTCTGTGGTGCAACGTGGCGTTGGTGGATGGCGCGAGACATGATGTCCCAGATGTGCTCAATTGGATTCAGGTCTGGGGAACGGGCGGGCCAGTCCATAGCATCAATGCCTTCCTCTTGCAGGAACTGCTAACACACTCCAGCCACATGAGGTCTAGCATTGTCTTGCATTAGGAGGAACCCAGGGCAAACCGCACCAGCATATGGTCTCACAAGGGGTCTGAGGATCTCATCTCGGTACCTAATGGCAGTCAGGCTACCTCTGGCGAGCACATTGAGGGCTGTGCGGCCCACCAAATAAATGCCACCCCACACCATGACTGACCCACCACCAAACCGGTCATGCTGGAGGATGTTGCAGGCAGCAGAACGTTCTCCACGGCGTCTCCAGACTCTGTCACGTCTGTCACATGTGCTCAGTGTGAACCTGCTTTCATCTGTGAAGAGCACAGGGCGCCAGTGGCGAATTTGCCAATCTTGGTGTTCTCTGGCAAATGCCAAACGTCCTGCATGGTGTTGGGCTGTAAGCACAACCTCAACCTGTGGACGTCGGGCCCTCATACCACCCTCATGGAGTCTGTTTCTGACCGTTTGAGCAGACACATGCACATTTGTGGCCTGCTGGAGGTCATTTTGCAGGGCTCTGGCAGTGCTCCTCCTGCTCCTCCTTGCACAAAGGCGGAAGTAGCAGTCCTGCTGCTGGGTTGTTGCCCTCCTACAGCCTCCTCCACGTCTCCTGATGTACTGGCCTGTCTCCTGGTAGCGCCTCCATGCTCTGGACTCTATGCTGACAGACACAGCAAACCTTCCTGCCACAGCTCGCATTGATGTGCCATCCTGGATGAGCTGCACTACCTGAGCCACTTGTGTGGGTTGTAGACTACGTCTCATGCTACCACTAGAGTGAAAGCACCGCCAGCATTCAAAAGTGACCAAAACATCAGCCAGGAAGCATAGGAACTGAGAAGTGGTCTGTGGTCACCACCTGCAAAACCAGCCCTTTATTGGGGGTGTCTTGCTAATTGCCTATAATTTCCACCTGTTGTCTATTCCATTTGCACAACAGCATGTGAAATGTATTGTCAATCAGTGTTGCTTCCTAAGTGGACAGTTTGATTTCACAGAAGTGTGATTGACTTGGAGTTACATTGTGTTGTTTAAGTGTTCCCAAGTAATACTTCACTTACTGGTAGCGGGAGGGGCGCAAATATATAGTGGGCTGTATAGACAGCGGAGGAGGAGCAGTGCGTCCGAACAGGCCCGGACTAACGCAGTGCTGTTTTATAATGCTTTTCTACAAATTTTGTCATGAGGGTGAGAGAAAATGTTGCAGTTTTAAAGCTCATTTCCTGCGATTCTACACATTTGCCATGGGGCAGAGAGAAATGTGCTGTTTTATAGCTCATCTCATGCTATTCTTCACATTTTGCCATGAGGATGAGAGAACATTTAGCAGTTTTAAATCAAATGTCCTGGTATTCTACAATTTCCTGTTATTCTATAATCGACCTGTTCAGAATATTGGAGGGGGGATATGTCCACCAATCCGCTGTGGCAATTTTGCGTATGATCCACTAACACTTACCAACTCATACCGGACAGTCAGACTGGTGGCCTCGAGGTTATTATTATAACTACTATACTACAGAGACCCAGAGTGCAATACAGTGGTGCAACGGGGATGAGCTAGCTGACGATGCCCCTGCTCCTGAACTATTCTATTTACTGAATGGATACAGTTCACTGATGACAGTGCATCTTATATTGTCACTCACTGCAGACCTGAAGTACTTAAATGTGATCATTTGCTGTTGGCGCTTTTCCACTGGCAGGAGTCTGTTTCTCTCTTTTCCTAATGCTATGCCCTCCCCTCTGTCCTCCTCAGGCCATGTTCTCCACAGACCTGATGGAGTCCAGACAGGAGCGGGTGGCCATCAACGGAGTGGAGTCCCAGATGATTGGCATGCTGGTCAGCTACGCCTACACGGCTGAGGTGGTCATCTCCAAGGCCAACGTGCAGGTGAGGTAGAACCATTGTCTTCCAGTCTCACTTTGTAGTCAGCTTCTGGTTTAGCGTTGCAGTTGTTAAATGGAAGTTGTAGTACACCAGAGTTGAAGTCAGTTTCATTCCTAGTCAGAAATACAGTAAATGGCACTTTTCATTTCCTAAATAAATGTAAAAAACTCAATCAATCTCCTGAGTTGACTGTCTTGAAATCAAATGTCATTGTCCTGAATTGACATGTGACCCCCAGGCCCTGCTGGCTGCGGCCAACCTCCTGGACGTGATGGCGGTGCGCGAGGCCTGCTGCCGCTTCATGGAGCGCCAGATGGATGAGATGAACTGTGTGGGCATCCACTGCTTCGCTGAGGCCCACTCCTGCAGGGAGCTGGAGAAACGCAGCATGGACTACATCCTCCAGCACTTCGGCAGTGTCTGCCAACAGGTGAGATAGGAAGGGAGGTCTGGGTTGTGTAGTCCAAACCTGGGGTGTGTCTCAATAGGTTAAAATGTATTTTTCACCTCTGTTCTCCTTCATCTGTGCTGCATTAAACACTGATCCCAGAGAGGTATTTTGTTTCACCCGTCTTGTTAATTCAGAACAGTGCAGACCAATGTTCCCTCTAAACTCCTCTCGGACTGCAGCACAGAATAAATATCAGACCGTGCAGAGAAGCAACTTTCTAGAGTTTTCCCCTTTAGTTAACACTATCAACGTTTCGCTGTACTGTGGGAATTGTGATCGAAACAACGCAATATTAGCCACTTTCAATGTAACATACCGAAACAAAACAAACTATACAAGACTTAGTATGCAAAACTAACTGTGCAAGAGATTTTGTTGTAGGCTGAGCGCATCGGAGTAGGATTGTATTGCATTGACAGGCACAACTCAGCCCGTACTCTACACAGACCGGTGTGCCATAAACAATCAGAGCTGCAGTAGGCCTATACGCAAATAGCTATTGTCATATATGGATCTGTGCCGTTCACTTTGAACTGGGCTTGTTTTGAGATCAAAGCGAAAGCTGCATGTAGCCACCTGTGCACATTTGTTAATATTCTTTGCTAGTTAGTGAGTTATTAGCCCAGTTATAGCAAATTTCTAGTCGACAATTGGGGAGTGGTTGGTTCCTACAAGAGCACAAAATGTGTGCATTTATCTTTGAAAAGCGAGTCAGGTAAAGAGCTTTTTTTATGTCTTAAAGGGGCAGTGTTGTATTTTGAAACTGTCTTGAATAAGCTAAGTAGCCAGTAGGCAGAGGGTAGCAGAATTTGCCTGATTCTCTGTAATAATGGTATGGGATAATAATACATTTTATTTTGTAAACTTTCTTTTTGCATCAAACACAACATTTTCAGCTACCTCCTTGTCTGAAGGACAAGTGGATAACCGGTTAATGTTAAGCCCTGCATGTTTTTTTTCAAAAGTCTCATGGAATGTAGGCCTACATTGAACACCACACATTGGCTGCTACAGTAGGCTGAATGATAGAACAGCTATTTCTATGTTAAAATGTTATTGGAAGTTATTGCATTTTTCTCCATTGTTTTTGATGGTAGACCACTCTGGTAGGCCTACATTATGATTAAATAGCCACAGTAGTCTACTTGTCCACTGTTAAAACTGTAATGTAAAGCGGGTACAGCCTCAGTGTTCACAGTAAACGCAAACCTGAAATTTGCTCAGTGCCCAATTTTCTTTGAGGGAACATTGGTGCAGACGAAGGAGAGGACATCTCTCATGTGTCATTGTTTAGACATTCCCATTCTTTGCCTGTGAGAAAGAAAGGAGAAGTGACATCATAGTCAACTGTCTTTTGTTCCCCTGACTGGCCCCTTGCCTGTTCATTAGGCACCAAAAAGAAGAAACCAGACTAAAACAGGGAGAGACTACATGGACTTTAAATGTCAAAACGTTTTGAAACGTTCTCAGTCGTGTAACCTAATGAACACATCCCTGTGGTCCATTGTCCCCCCCCAGGAAGAGTTCCTGTCTCTGTGTGCAGACAAGCTGACAGAGATCATTGCCAGCGACCACCTGAACGTGGCCAAGGAGGAGACAGTGTTCGAGGCCACCATGCTGTGGCTGGACAAGAGTGCCACCCGCAGGCAGAGCTTTGAAAAGGTCAGCGTGGAAACAACAGTCAATGCAGTGGTCCCCATTTGTCCGTGTGTTGAGCGGTATCTAGGCGATCTGTGGCCAGCTCTATGCTAAGCCCCCTCCCTACAGTTCTCTGTTGACTGTGTTGTGTGTGGTTTTAAGCTCTGGGATCCCCAGTAGATCTGACTGTCCGAGACCCCAGATGTCAGTCACTCAGCGTTACATAAACGTTAGGGATTAGAACCCCATTGTCTGGTCCTGTAGTAACCATGGGCCCTGAGAGGTGTCACCCTAGCCTGGCACCAATAGGATTTAGAGCCTCTCAGATTTGACTCGGTGTCATTATGGATAGGTCAGAGGTCAGCAGCCTACACGATCCTATCATGTTAAGTGGAAGGTGGAGGTATCAAGGTCGCTCTGGTACAATGGAATAAATTGAAGGTTAGGTCCTATGTCCTTGTGTTTTAATGTGTATATAAAACTGTAGAGGTGGGATGGAGATGCCTGCCTGTGTCTGTCTACTCATGTCTATGTGTATGTGTCCAGTGAGTTCGGGTGTGTTTGTTTTCAGTGTATGTGTCTCCAGTTATTCTAACCCATGTCTCCCTGCAGGTCTTGGAGCACATCCGCCTGCCACTGATCAGCCCGTACTACATCCACGATGTGATTGAGTCTCTGGAGGTGGTCCGGGAGTCCCAGCGCTGTCAGAGGCTCATCTCTGAGGCCAAGGACTACCTGCTGCTACAGGACCGACGAGGAGAGCTCTACTGCCCCCGGGCACGCCCACGTAGGTCCACAGGTAGGTACCACACGCATGGATACATACACGCATACACATAAGCACACTCCAAATACACCCTGTCACGCACAAAAACAAGGACTCACACACATTTAACCTCCCACTTCTCAAACTCCTCCACACGCCTAGCGCTTTAATGAACTTTCCGAAGCAAACACAACGGCATTTAAAACAAACACCATCAAACCCTGGCATGCCTGGATGATTGTTCTACCAACTGCCTTTAATACAATTATCAGCTCTCTGATGCTCCTAGTCCCCTGTGGCTTCCCAGTGACATCTGTCTCTCCTGGCCTCTCTCTGTGACAGGGACAGCTGAGGTGATTGTGACGGTGGGGGGAGAGGACGACAAGGTGGTGCTGCGTAGCGTGGAGAGTTTTGACCCCCTTACCAGCCAGTGGAAGAGTCTGGCCTGCCTGCCCTTCGCTGTCAGTAAACACGGCCTGGTGGTTTCAGGTGAGGACCATTTGGTTTAGTTTGTATATTAACACCTAGTGATAAGATGGATCCTACTACTGTATGTTATAGATTGTTATAGGACCTTTGTTACATTTGACCTAATGCTTGAGAATGGCTTGTTTCTTTTTATTGTAATTGTGTACAGTATAAGATGAAGAAAATACACACTTCAGTTTCTCACAGAATAGACAAATTATGATATTCTTATTCTATACTATTATTTTCTAATCTATTCCACTCTCATTGTTCTCTCCCCCAGGCTCCACTCTGTACCTGGCTGGAGGGGAGTTCCCTGATGGCTCGGCCAGCAGAGAGATGTGGCGCTATGACCCCTGCTTCGACTCCTGGCTGGAGATGGCCCCCATGAACGTAGCCCGCTCAGAGCTAGGTAAAAATTCAGTCAATTCTACCCATTTATTTCTCCATTTTAACATACTGTCTGACATGTCAGCACTAAAAACAAAAATCTTACATAACACTGGTTAGAAGGACAGCCGGGGACTTGTGACCTTTCTTAACAGGTTAGGTCCCCGTCCATGACTTCTGTAATGGAATAAAACAACAGCCAATATAGTACATCATTTGTGAGTGCTGACAGACTTCTGTTTGATGATAGACTTCTATTGGATGATCCTCTCTGTTTAAAGTTGAGCAGGCTGGATCTTCCATTAATATGTCCCCATCCCTCCCCTCCAGGTCTGGTGATGCTGGATGGCTATGTGTTTGCGGTGGGGGGCTGGGAGGGCCGTTCCCGCCTGGACTCGGTAGAGTGTTACAACCCCCACACCAACACCTGGCAGTTCATGGAGTCGGTCAAGATGGCCGTCACCAGCCCTGCCGTGGTGTCACTGGATGGTCTGCTCTATGTCACAGGTAGGGGAGATCATTGCTCACCCACTTCCAGAGAACTCTGTGGCTGCGTTTACACAGGCAGCCCAATTCTGATGTTTCTTTCACTAATTGGTCTTCTGACCAATCAGATCAGCTCTGAAAAAGATCTGATGTGATTGGTCAAAAGACCAATTAGTGGGAAAAATATCAGAATTGGGCTGATTGTATAAATGCAGGCAAAGTATTTACTGTAGACAGTCACAGCAACTATAGGTTCAGCTTGGTTGATATTATTTTTCTGTAATTGCTTTATGTTGTAGTTTGAATTGTCTACAGGTCATCTTTAATATTAGATCATTGTAACTTATCAGTGTCCTCCTGGCTCCTAGGTGGTGCTGTTCTAGAGGATGGTGACGGCACAGACCTGGCCCAGGTGTACAACCCTAAAACGTCCGTGTGGACAGAGGTGGCCCCCATGCAGATCGCTCGCTCCGGCTCTGCTGCCTGCACCCTAAAGGGGAAAATCTACGTCATAGGTAACAGGGATCAGTTTGGACTTTTAGATCACAATGAATAAAATTACATGGACAGAGGGGACCTGATCCTAGATCAGCACTCCTACTCTGAGATGCTTGATACATACTGACTTTCCCTGAACACGTGACCTGACCAGGAGAAAAGTAGTAAGGCCCTAGTTTGAAGCCAAGAGGATATTTCCACATTGTCTGTGGAAAAATACATTAGGATTTTCTCCTGTATTCCATTCCTAGGTGGCTGGCACGCGTCCACAGAGAACACAGACAAGGTGGAGTGTTACGACCCCAAGAGTAACCAGTGGACAATGTGTGCCCATATGAGGGAGAGGCGCTACCGGCCCGGTGTGGCCGTGGTGGACGGCAAGATCTACGTGCTGGGTGGAGAGGAGGGCTGGGACAGGTAAAAGACAGCGCCATGTCAAGCCTTATCTAAGCATATTCAGCTTGATTATATTTATTAGGCCACACCATAGCAAAATGGTTTTCAACAGAAAATGAAAGCAAGCGTTTCTTATTGAACAAGTTTATGTAGTTTTTCCCCATTTGTCGGTTTACAAGCGTTTGGTGCCTACTGAATACGACCCTGATTTGGCAGGTGCAAGGCCTATAAAATATTATATTTTTTTTAGGAGAATACGAAAAGTATCTGGGCTGCCTATGGCACCCTATTCCATATATATATATATATATATAGCACTAATTTCGATGAAATGGCACCTTATTCCGTATGTAGTGCACTACTTTTGACCAGAGCCTACGCAACCTGTCCCCTCTGTCCGCCAGGTACCACGACACCATCGAGCGGTATTGTGAGGAGACCGACAGCTGGGAGATCGTGGGGGAGATGCCCACCAGCCGGAGCTGGCTGAGCTGTGTTTCTCTGCAGCTGAGGAAGGACGCCCACGGGGGCAGCCGCCCCGGCACCGCCTCGGAGACCGAGTTCTCTGTGGACTGAGATGGATGGATGGAGTACTCCAGACATAGAGGTCCTAGTACCATTCATTTCTATGGCGTCAGACTGCCACCTTTTGGAGAGCTCTGACTGTATCTCTGCCAAACAGTCAACCTGTCCCTGGTTGTTCTGGTGCTGAACAGAAGTCACTCTGTGCCAGAGAGAATACCAGAGGGCAGCTAACTAACTTAGTAGGGCTGCTATTCTGTCTCATCATGAGTCTTGACCTTGCCAAGTCACTGCGCCTCTAGGCTTAAGCCATGGAGAAGGACAGAAGTGTGACTGCCTCAATGGCAAGCCTGACAAAAGTGGTCTTTATTTCACCATGAAAGCCTGTTCACTCACTCAACGGCATGGGTCCATTCTGTTGCCATGGCAATATGTCACTGTGTCCATGGTAACAGTATCATTTAGGATGGATGACCCGTCACCCACTTATGGAACCCTCTCTCTTTTAATGTTATGTGAATGTTTGGGGTCAGGGTGTTTTAGTAGAACTTAATCACCTTACAACGGTGACTTAGCAAGATGTTCTCTCCACAACCATCGTAGTGTATTTTTATGTGACGTTTTGTATTTATTAGATTTCTTTGGTTGAGGATGACCCATTTTATTACAATTGGAAGATAATTATTTCCCCTTTATAAAAGATGCTCTTTATTGGCCAAAGAATCCATTGTGAAACAATATTTCAGAGACAAATTAGTGAAAAGAAAGCCAACCATGTTTGAAGTGTTTTGTTGTCATGCAAATTTGGAAGGTCTGTTCTCAATTGCCTTTTGACTGCCTGTTATATGGTTTAGTTTATATTTGTCTAATCGGTATGCTTAGTAAATGTTGACTGGGTAACTTTGAGTGAGCTGTATGACGCTTTCCAATAGTAATTTTAATTCTGTAAAAGTGGATCAAACCTGTACCATGCATTGAAATGTGAATTGAATAAAAGCATATGGATGCCAATATGGTTATTGAATCTGACTATTCTGGGTGCATCTCAATCTAGAGTGGCATGCTAATCTTGTGCCCTCTTTAAATGCCAGGATCTAAACAGATTTTGCCACATTGCTTTTACCCAAGCATCCATCTGCCCATATAGGTTCCTTTGATTCCTGCAAGTACAATGCTGAAACTTGAACAGGAAGCTCCAATGAAAAGGATCATATTAACCTAGACTTCCATAATTATACATGCACAATGTATATATTCAAATAATCTTCATTTCAAAACGTATTTTATTATGTAGGAAAGTTTCCCAAATGAAACACGAATACTGGAATGAACATGTTCACCTTTAGACGGACCAATTTAAGACAAACGGTCAACATAAGGAAAGCTAACAGTGTGATTGCTATGCTTAGTGTGACGTCCTATATAAACTGACCCGTATAAACTCTTTATATAATTGGCACATTTACAACATAGTAATGATAACAAGTTAAACAATTTATTTTGTTCCCATGCTTCAGATATATACCTATGCCAAAGATTTTTATAACTAAACCAAGAGACCACAGCTTGTCGTTTACAATGGGAACAAACGTCATAATGGGCAGAGCCAAGCACACACTAGCGATATCCTATTGGCGCGTTCTACTAACATCTGCATATTTCCATTAGGGAACGCCTACTCTGAAGTGCGTATGTTCAATAACTCAACTCGCCTTTGCACTCCTTCTAAACAACGCGGTTTTTTAAACTTTTGCAAAGGGTAAAGTCTACAAAACTTAGTCCACTCTGTTCATAACAGATTCTAGTTTTGGGAACAGAAAACTGTATTGAGATTAAATGTGTAATCGATGAGAAAATATGCAGAATGTCACCCAAAATCCATCTTCTCCCACTGCCCGCCATATTTGGTAGTGAGTGGAAACGCCAACCAGATGCTTCACATTTATACATCCAGTGAAATACCTGTCTCATTGTTCTCTGTGCCTATGCTGTCCCAACATTTCAAAATGGACACAGCCCTACAAAATAGAATATTCTGTACATGAGTCTGACAGGACATCAAACATAAAGCAGCACAACAAATTAAATCATAGCCTGTCCCATTTACAAAAATATGAATATGACAAAAGCAGCTGGCGTCCCATCGTTAACCCTACAACCCCCATCCTGAGCTCTCTGCTCACACAAGCAGTCTCTCAATGGCCATCTGGGTAGACTGGATCTGGGGCTTGAGCTGCGAGCCCTCCTTGATGGTGACCGAGGTGGCAATGACGGGGCGCGAGACCCCACAGGCGCGTCCCAGGGCCTGCTTGGAACGCACAAACACATAGGGCACGTTCTTGTCTTCGCAGAGCAGTGGCAGGTGGAGGATGATCTCCAGGGGCTCTGCGTCTGCGGCCATCACGATGAACTCGGCGATACCACGGTTCAGCGTTTTAGTGGCTGGTGGAAGAGAGGGCGAGCAGAGGTTAGAGAGTGACAAATCTGAAGCTGTGAGGTGATACTTTAAGAGGCATGTCTATTGTATCGCTGTTCTTCCAAACATGCTAGGAGAAACACAGTAACAATCCCCTTGTTGGAATAAGCAACTTGTACGTTTCCAACCCTGCAACCAAAACAACGTAGTTCCACTACAGATAGGTCTGTCTCACCTTCATTGGCCCCTTTGCGGAGCTGCTTGTAATTGGCAGCTTGCTGCACAAGGTCCAGGATGGTTTTGCTCAGTGTGGCATCAGCAAGAGGGTAGGCCTTGGGGTTGACTTCTGGATCAGTCTGATAGGTTTAAATATATCGTGGTTAAAATGAATATGGGGACCAGGCCACACATATCAACACAGCGTGGACAGCCGCTAGTGGTCTCTATGTATTGTATCTGTCTTTTGACGGATCCACTCAAAATAAGGTCAATAGCGACCACTAGCGGTTGTCCAGAGTGATCAACAGTGCATAGCTAGCTAGTTACTACAGTGAATGTTGTAAACACATAGCTAGGTCACAGTCGCCACACACATTTTTGCCCCTCTTTTAGCGATACTATCTAATTTGGGCAAATCAGACTATATTACTTTCATGGACTCAGTTATGCAAGTTAGTTAGGAGTCCACAATACTTCAGCCACGCTCAAGGTCCTAAACGATATTATAACCGCGATCGATAATAGACAGTACTGTGCAGCCATCTTCATCGACCTGGCCAAGGCTTTCGACTCTGTCAACCACCACATTCTTATTGGCAGACTAAATAGCCTTGGTTTCTCAAATGACTGCCTCGCCTGGTTCACCAACTACTTCTCAGATAGAGTTCAATGTGTCAAATCGGAGGGCCTGTTGTCTGGACCTATGGCAGTCTATGGGGGTGCCACAGGGTTCAATTCTTGGGCCGACTCTTTTCTCTGTGTATATCAATGATGTCGCTCTTGCTGCTGGTGACTCTCAGATCCACCTCTACGCAGACGACACCATTTTGTATACATCTGGCACTTCATTGGACACTGTGTTAACAAACCTCCAAACGAGCTTCAATGCCATACAACACTCCTTCAGTAGCCTCCAGCTGCTCTTAAACACTAGTAAAACTAAATGCATGCTCTTCAATCGAACGCTGCTGGCACCCGCCCACCCGACTAGAATCACTACTCTCGACGGGTCTGACCTAGAGTATGTGGACAACTACAAATACCTAGGTGTCTGGTTAGACTGTAAACTCTCCTTCCAGACTCACATTAAGAATCTCCAATCCAAAGTTAAATCCAGAATCGGCTTCCTATTTCGCAACAAAGCCTCCTTCACTCATGCTGCCAAACACGCCCTTGTAAAACTAACTATCCTACCGATCCTTGACTTTGGCGATGTCATTTACAAAATAGCCTCCAACACTCTACTCAGCAAATTGGATGTAGTCTATCACAGTGCCATCCGTTTTGTCTCCAAAGCCCCATACACTACCCACCACTGTGACCTGTACGCTCTTGTTGGCTGGTCCTCATTACATGTTCGTCGTCAAACCCACTGGCTCCAGGCCATCTATAAATCACTGCTAGGCAAATCCCCGCCTTATTTTAGCTCATTGGTCACCATAGCAACACCCACCCGTAGTATGCGCTCCAGCAGGTATATCTCACTGGTCATCCCCAAAGCCAACACCTCCTATGGCCGCCATTCCTTCCAGTTCTCTGCTGCCAATGACTGGAACGAATTGCAAAAATCTCTGACTTTAAGCATCAGTTGTCAGAGCACCTTACCGATCACTGCACCTGTACACAGCCCATCTGAAATTAGCCCACCCAACAACCTCATCCCTATATTGTTATTTCTTTTTGCTCATTTGCACCCCAGTATCTCTATTTGCACATAATCTCTTGCACATCTATCATTCCAGTGTTAATACTAATTGTAATTATTTTGCACTATAGCCCATTTATTGCCTTACCTCCATAACTTGCTACATTTGCGCACACACTGTATATATACATTTTCTGTTGTATTTTTTGACTTTATGTTTTGTTTTACCCCATATGTAACTCTGTGTTGTTGTTTTTATTCGCACTGCTTTGCTTTATCTTGGCCAGGTCGCAGTTGTAAATGAGAACTTGTTCTCAACTGGCTTACCTGGTTAAATAATGGTTAAATTAAATTTTAAAAAACATCCATATATCTTAAACATCTAGGAAACAACACGTGGTTAACGTTACCAAATCAAATCAAATTTTATTTGTCACATACACGTGTTTAGCAGATGTTATGGCGGATGTAGCGAAATGCTTGTGCTTCTAGCTCCGACAGTGCAGTAATATCTAACAATTACACAACATATACCCAATACACACAAAAAAGTAAGGAATGGGATTTAAGAATATATACACATATATGGACAAGCAATGACAGAGCGACATGGACTAAAATACAGAAGAATATTATAGAATAGAATGCAGTATATACATATGAGATGAGTAGTGCAAGATATGTAAACATTATTAAAGTGACTAGTGTTCCACTTCTTAAAGTGGCCAGTGATTTCAATAGGCAGCAGCAGCCTCTAATGTGCTAGTGATGGCTATTTAACAGTGAATGTGGCCTTGAGATAGAAGCTGTTTTTCATTCTCTCGGTCCCAGCTTTGATGCACCTGTACTGACCTCGCCTTCTGGACGATACCACGCTGATGAGGCGTGGTGCTGCCAGATATTTCATAAACTATACAATAAGGCAGCTAGCTAAACTTAATGTAGCTAATATCCATATTCTGGAATGTTACAAACTTCACAACAAATTCAACCGAATCAAATAAAAGTAGCTAGATTGTTAGCTAGCTAATTGGTTGGTCCCAACACAACAACAGATAGCTTGCTAGCCGGGCTAGCTAGCTAATTTCCCTAGCACAGTCATACTTCCATTAGTTGAGCTCACCATTTCTTCAAATTTCCAGTGATTAAGACGTGAAATCCCTCTGTCCTCTCGGCGTGTGCTTCACAGAGGACAGAAAAAACCAGTTGAAAGAAGTGTTCAAAAATGTGCAGTGAGTCCACAGATAAAACAATGACACAGATATTTCACCGGATGCATAAATGTGAGGCATCCGCTTTGAGAGGAAGCCCAGTGCCAGGAAGTGGGAGAAGATGGAAAGAGATGGATTTTGGCAGACATTCTGCTAATTTTCTCATCGGTGAAACATTTGATCTCAATACAGTTTTCTGTTCCCAAAACTAGGGTCTGTTAGAAACAGAGTGGACTAAGTTTTGTAGACTTTACCCTTTGCAAAAGTTTTTTTTAATTGCGTTGTTTAGAAGGAGCGCAAAGGCGAATTGAGTTATTGCACACGCGCACTTCAGAGTAGGTGTTTCCTAACGGAAATATGATCTGCCCAATTCTGTACTACCATGAAAATAAAATTCAAAACCAAATAAATCACTACTAACTTCTACCTCCCCCTCCCCCCAAAACCCTCCCCAACCCCCCTAACCCATTAAACGTTACCTATATCATGTTGAAACACTCCACCCTTAGGATTGTTCAGCATGTCAACAACCATTTCAACAGTAACATCGGTTACCCTCAATATCTCTTTTGCCGGCTCCACAATAACCTTCAACCTGGCATTTCTGCTTTCCACAACCCGAGTCGTATTGATAATCTTACCAATAAAAGCTATGATGTCAACTTTATTCATCATTCCTTTGACACCGCACATTAATGAGCCAAGGTTTCTGAACAGGCCTCGAAATGATGCCAGGACCATCAGAAGCACCAGCCCTGATAGTAGGTCCACTTACTACAGGAACATCCATGTAAGCTCCCATCAGTCCGCACTGTAGTTCTACCAATCTGTTTTACATCCTATGCATATGATACATCATGACTGATACTATATCGCTGAGCCTCTCTAGCCTCTCTCTGCACCTGGCATCCACCAAATGCTGCAGTGTGTTCTCCCCCACAATTATAACACTTAACCTTCACATTGCTTCCACATTCACTGTAATCATGTTTCCTTCCACACTTGGCACATATTTTCTTTCCTTTACACTGAACCGCACATGTCCCATTCTTTGGCATTTAAAACACTGCAGTGCATATGGGACAAATTCTCTAACATTGAAACTAAGGAATCCGTTCTGTACTTTTTCCGGCAAAACTTTCTCAAACCTCAGCATCACTGATAAGTTTTCACTTCTTTGACCCTCTTTCCTACTGATCAACATTTTGGCCTCAATCACTCTGCCTCCCTTCACATTTTCTTTAATATCATCTGTGGACCAGTGGAGGCTGCTGAGGGGAGGACGGCTCATAATAACGGTTGTAAGGGCGCAAATGGAATGGCATCAAACACATGGAAACCATGTGTTTGATGTTTTTGATACCATTCCATCTATTTCGCTCCAGCCATTACCACGAGCCCCTCCTTCCCAATTAAGGTGCCACCAACCTCCTGTGCTGTGGACATATATATTGTGACCCCAGTGATGACTCCCCTCAACCTATCATAAGCACCAGGTACAGTGGCTTGCGAAAGTATTCACCCCCCTTGGCATTTTTCCTATTTTGTTGCCTTACAACCTGGAATTAAAATGGATTTTTTTGGGGGTTGTATCATTTGATTTACACAACATGCCTACCACTTTGATGATGCAAAATATTTTTTTATTGTGAAACAACAAGAAATAAGACAAAAAAAAAAAGAAAACTTGAGCGTGCATAACTATTCACCCCCCCCTGTTTTTGCATTATTGTAGTGTATTTAACACATGCCCTTACTGCAAAAGTTGCAATATGAAAATGTATTATAGTCGACTCAGCCTGTCCATACAATTTCTGAATCCTACCAATGTCAATCTTGTTAAAGGGGCAATCTGCAGTTGCTACATCCATTTTGTACTTATAAATGAATGGTATATAACCATTGATTCAACTGTCGTACCCAATGATGCCATTGGTCGTACCCCATCAGAACCCAAAATATTAGCTTGTATTATTCCAATGGTTGTAAACAATGTTAATGTAAACAAACACGGTATCAGTGGAGGCTAGTGGAAGGAGCTATAGGAGGATGGGTATCAAACATATGGAAACAACGTTTGACTCCGTTCCATGAAGTCCATTCCATCCATTACAATGAGCCCGCTCCTCCCACCAGCCTCCTCTGCATAGTATAGCCTCAAAACATGGTTAAAACTTTAATTTAGATATCATAGATGGTCAGTCCTTGCATCCATAGTTCTGTCTATGAATTTAAGTGGTAACAGTTCTCCAGGCTCATCCCTCAGATTTTTACCGAACAGTATTGTTTCAACTGCCGATTGGCCCCTATAAAGTTAAATATCTCTGACGAATCTTTTTACCATTTTTGGATTGGCTGTGAAGAGCGGTGCATTGTGGGTAGGACGTCAGGGCGGCCATATCTGTATTCTGCTGCGGCTGAAGGAGAGGAACGGGAGTCATGAAAGGGATCCGAACTCTAAATCATTTCTCCGTGAGTCTTGTTACTCTATCCTATTAAACGTGTATTTTACAACGATATAACATGAGGTTTCGTGCATTCTTTCCGTTGGGGAGTCAATCGGAACCCACCCCGTGGACTAGCCAAGGCTGGCTAGTGGAAGCAGATAGGTTAATTAGCCTGTCGGTGACCCTAGCTAACGATAACTAGGGAATAGATCTAGCTAGGCGCGCTACTTCTTTATTCTATCGTCTTGACCGATATACTGTATCCAATCGGTTTCATGAACCAATAATATCTAGCCATTCTTACTTACAAACGAAGATGTGTACTACATTTTACGATGGCATGTTAACTACTGGCGAATCGCTGTCAGGCTGTATTGCTAGCTAGCTGTCACGTAGCCCATGGTTCCACTCCAGCTCAACCCATTGAAGGTCATTGCGGTTCTGCTGGTTTTTCAGATCAATCCCACACTGACAATCCTAGCCAGGTGACATGCCACGGAACCATCTGTCTCAATTCACCTATCAAGTAATCTCATTGCAATGTTGATTGGTAGTGATGGAATCAGTAACTGCCAGCTTTAGCTTCGAGAGTCTGACAATAAGCCACCGGCTTTCTCCTGTCGTATCTAGTGTACTGCTGATTTCTAGGAAGCTTGACGAGTTAATGTTTTGATATTGCCCTGTTTTTGAACAATAGATTATAGTATATTTGGAGTGGGCTGCTGCATTCCAGTGCTATCTGCTAAAATCCACATTTGCAACATTTTACATGAACAGACTCATCAATAACATATTCCTTCCGTCTGCAAACACATGGCCAAACGTTTTACAATTATTGCATTGCATCGGGTTTTGCACGAACGCTCTTACGGCATATCTTATATATCCCAACTTTACATAGGGTGGTAAATACTAATCAAACATCAATAATACAGATAAACTTAACTCCTTTTCTCCATACGGGTCACGCGACACCCATTAACTACTCCTGGATTTTTTTGCCTAAAATATTGATTATCAATGTCCAACGGGACGCTAGAAATAACACTTTTTATCGGTGCCCTGCTCCAAAAATCAAAGCTGTTTACTTCGTGCGTCGATATTTTCGCGAGCCACAATGCACACTCCTTTTGCTCTTTAGATACACACGATATCAACACCATACTACTCCTGGTTACTTTGACTGCATCCACTTTTCCCAACGCCTTCTTCACCATTCTCATGACTTCAAACGGGTTTCCCAAATAAACATCTTTATCCAAAAAAACGTACTCTAACAAGGAACGATTCATCAGAATCATTTTCCACAACAATTGTAGCCCCTTTTGTTCCATTCTTGGATTTCACTGATGTCCACTCATCTTTCTCGCTAACTGTATTCAACGCACTTTCAGCTTCAAACGACACTTCTGCTTCCGCCATCTCACCGCCCTAGAACATTTCACACTCATTAGATGTGTAATTAAAGGGCCAAATGCGCAACTATAAGGGAATTACACAAAAAATGTGTTAGTTTTCTTCCATACCCCCCCCCCCCCCCAAAAAAAAAAAAGGTATGCTGTGATTCAACCATTGACATGGACTCGGAGCATCCAATTTCGTTGTTTTTCTATGAACAGTTCTAATTTTGAGAGTGCAAAACAAATCTAAAACCAGGAAAAATAAAACTGAGAACATAATTTGGAAAAATATAAAACAGAAAACAGTGTACAGGAGAAGGTAGTGCACTAAGAACCCAGGGGAGAGAAGAGAAGAACAATGTGCCTATTTGAAAGCTAGAAAAAAATGAGTAGCTTGCAACACATTTCATTTTTTAAAAGTAGCTCTCATGCTAGAAAAGGTTGGAGACCCCTGATTTGGGTAATCTCTGTGGTTATAACATGAAAATGCTCAAATGTGGAAAATTATCGGTAAGACTGCATGCAGCAAAAACATGAGTAGCTTCTCTTTCTATATTGTTGTCTGGTCAAGCAGACACCATAATCTCTTCCGACATTAGATGTTTGACTGGGGGTTGGATCATATCAGGTCTTTAGGATTTAACCTTACTTCCGATTGAGTTTCCCTACACCTCACCCTCATCTTAACCAAGGTGCCACAGCCAATGTAGGATGTGTCCTCTCAGAAGGACAAAGAAGAAAAAGGCTGAACATATTTCAGGTTGGCTTGGCACCTAGTGAGTCTACCCTCAGAGTGGACTATATATAATCAAGAACACCCACTGCTCTAGTCTAGACCTCAGAATTCATCTCCCCTCTTTAGGTCTAGAGAAGGCTGCTCGTATCACAAAACATTCTCCTAAACAAAAACCTGTTATGATGGTTTAATTTAATCCACCTGTAGTATTCTTTTCAGTCATAAGATGTCATGTGACTGGGGTCATTTGAGGACAGAAGGAAATCTAGATCCCTCCACATTAATTGAATAGTGTATCATATCATATTGTAATTCCCTAGCTGAGGAAGTGCTGGTGAGTGTTTGTTGGCATGATTTTTGTCATTTCCCTCCCCAGAGACGATGCTATGCAGCCAGGAGGAGTGATGCCCTCACTGAGCCCTTGGCTGGCCTGAAGACTGGGGCTCCCCTGCCCCCACAGAGTGTCCAGGTATGTCATAGGGGCCAATAAGTTTTCACATGGGATCACAAGAAAAACTCTGGGCCCAAACTGGGGTTTGGAGTTTTTCTTGGTGGAGTCATATGGTTAGGGGAAAAAAACCTAGGCTTGTGTTCTCCTGGTTTGGCCACGCGTGACGTCACTTAACTGAGGGATGAAGACCTGCTCTACTCTCTGGCTAAGCATTGTGATTATGTTCATGTGGTAGACTTGTTTTAGGTAACTACCATGTACGCACTTGTACTTATTGTATAGCATATGCTTGTTGGCAATCACAGAGGTCAGACGTTTCTTGTAGTTGGCCACCAGGTTTTCACACATCTCAGGAGGGATTTTGTTCCACTCCTCTTTGCAGATCTTCTTCAAGTCATTAAGGTTTCGAGGATGTCGTTTGGCAACTCGAACCTTCAGCTCCCTCTACAGATTTTCTATGGGATTAAGGTCTGGAGACTGGCTAGGCCACTCCAGGACTTTAATGTCCTTCTTCTTGAGCCATTCCTTTGTTGCCTTGGCCGTGTGTTTTGGGTCATTGTCATGCTGGAATACCCATCCACGACCCATTTTCAATGCCCTGGCTGAGGGAAGGAGGTTCTCACCCAAGATTTGATGTTACATGGCCCCGTCCATCGTCCCTTTGATGCGGTGAAGTTGTCCTGTCCCCTTAGCAGAAAAACACCCCCAAAGCATAATGTTTCCACCTCCATGTTTGATGGTGTTATTGGGGTCATAGGCAGCATTCCTCCTCTTCCAAACACGGCGAGTTGAGTTGATGCCAAAGAGCTCGATTTTGGTCTCATCTGACCACAACACTTTCATCCAGTTCTCCTCTGAATCATTCAGATGTTCATTGGCAAACTTCAGACTGGCCTGTATATGTGCTTTCTTGAGCAGGGGGACCTTGCGGGCGCTGCAGGATTTCAGTCCTTCACTGCGTAGTGTGTTACCAATTGTTTTCTTGGTGACTATGGTCCCAGCTGTCTTGAGATCATTGACAAGATCCTCCCGTGTAATTCTGGGCTGATTCCTCACCGTTCTCATGATCATTGCAACTCCACGAGGTGAGATCTTGCATGGAGCCCCAGGCCGAGGGAGATTGACAGTTCTTTTGTGTTTCTTCAATTTGCGAATAATCGCTCCAACACTTGTCACCTTCTCACCAAGCTGCTTGGCGATGGTCTTGTAGCCCATTCCAGCCTTGTGTAGGTCTACAATCTTGTCCCTGACATCCTTGGAGAGCTCTTTGGTCTTGGCCATGGTGGAGAGTTTGGAATCTGATTGATTGATTGATTGCTTCTGTGGACAGGTGTCTTTTATACAGGTAACAAGCTGAGATTAGGAGCACTCCCTTTAAGAGTGTGCTCCTAATCTCAGCTCATTACCTGTATAAAAGACACCTGGGAGCCAGAAATCTTTCTGATTGAGAGGGGGTCAAATACTTATTTCCCTCATTAAAATGCAAATCAATTTATAACATTTCTGACATGCGTTTTACTGGATTTTTTTGTTGTTATTCTGTCTCTCACTGTTCAAATAAACCTACCATTAAAATTATACACTGATCATTTCTTTGTCAGTGGGCAAATGTACAAAATCAGCAGGGGATCAAATACTTTTTTCCCTCACTGTTTTGGCTCAGCCATATTTTCCCCTCCAAATTGGAAAATGAACTTTTGGTTGTGTAGTTCATCACAAGAACTTCGCCTCAGTTGAACAGAATGGAATGGTTATTCTTATTCACTCTGCAGTTTCCAAAACAACGATGCTGCCAGTCTTACATGTGTTCCAGCTGTGACATCATGACTCTCCCTCCCTGTGTTCTCTACTAGGTGTCCAAGCTGCCCAACGGTCTAGTGATTGCGTCGTTGGAGAACTACTCTCCCGTGTCAAGTGTGGGTGTGTTTGTGAAAGCAGGCAGTCGTTATGAGACTGTGGAGAACCAGGGAGTCAGTCATGTCCTGCGGTTGGCAGCCAACCTGGTAAGTCCCAGTGGTTTTATGAATGGATTGATCTCTTTGACTTGTGAATGAATACAACAATAAATGCAATTTCCATCACAGCTACACTTTTTAAAAAAAGTCCTTAAGTTATTGAATGAACACTGTCACTGTTGTTGTTTTCAGACTACTAAGGGAGCGTCTGCGTTCAGGATCTGTCGTGGTGTGGAGGCAGTGGGGGGCAGTCTGAGGTCAGTGAGTATGGAGAGTACAGTATACACTATATCTCCTCCCTCCCTGTTCCCTAATCCCCCTTTCTGTCCTCATGCAGAGTATACATTATACTGTTCCCTATCCCCCCCCTCTCTCCACATACAGAGTGTATTCTATAATATAACCTCTGTTACCCTGTATGGCTCAGTTGGTAGAGCATGGCGCTTGCACCAACCAGGGTTGTGGGTTCAATTCCCTGGGGCCACCCATACGTAAAATGTCTGCACGCATGACTGTAAGTCACTTTGGATAAAAGCGTCTGCTAAATGACATGTATGTTGTTATTATTATTATTATACACTTGAGTACACTGTTGTGTTGTGTACCCCTTCCCTCCTGGTCCCTTATTCCTTCTCTGTGTCCCCCCTGACCTGCTGTAAATAAACGTAAATGTAGGAGGCACAGACTCCCCCCCCCCCCCCCGATGCAGTGAAACATTAACAGCAACTTCAACACCCATACCTCACACAAGCTGTACATTCACTCAATTATAGATGCCACGCATACAGTTGCCCTCTAGTCAACAGGGTGCTCACCTTTTAGGATAGAGCAGAATGCACAAGATGAAAGAAGCACAGATCGACACATGCATGTTGACATTTATTGGAATGAATCTTGTCCTGGGGGCAGAGCAAAGTGGTTTCCACTAGATGGGCCAGCCACAAAGTCAAAATTGGCTATATCATTAAAAAAATAATGAACACAGAAATTTTGTTTTTCGTCTCAAATTAAGGTTAGGAATAAGGTTTGTTCGTGTGGTTAAGGTTAGTTTTTAAATCTGATTTGATGACTTTTTGGCTGTGCCAGCTAGTGACCACCCTGTAGAGCTGTAGAGTACATGAATCATCCCAATAAATGCCAACCTGCACACACAGCACAAGAATGTTCCTATTTTCACCTCATTGCAAAGCAATGTGCATCATAGCTAGTCTAGTCTGGAGGATGTAGCTAACGTCTGTTTTCTGTGTGTCCACAGCGTAACGTCATCGAGGGAGACCATGGTTTACTCTGTGGAGTGTTTGAGAGACCACTTGTAAGTACCCTTACCACCGCAGCCAGACTCCCTCATAGTGTGTGGGTTTACTCTGGTGTTGATAGATGAGGAAACTTGAATTACGGGCACTTTGTATGCGAGTACAGGGTTGATTCATGGTGTAATTAGCCCCTGTGTTTCTTACCTATTTATTATAGAGGCTTCCCACAGGGCCACTTTAAGGAAAATGTAAATGTAATCTTAATTCATCATTTATGTTGTGACTGTTGCATTGTCCTTGTGGGTGTCCAAGTGTTTGTGTCTGCCCGTCCAACGTCCATCCTTCTCCTCAGAGACACAGTGATGGAGTACCTGATCAACGTGACCACGACCCCAGAGTTCCGGCTGTGGGAGGTGGACGACCTGACCTCCAGGGTCAAGGTAGACCGGGCCTTGGCCCACCAGTGTCCACAGATAGGTCAGCAACACTTCCCTCTATTCACTTTACTTGTCCAGCACGATCGCTCCTTGTTGAATTAATCAGTTTTATTGAATTACCAGTAGCATTTTGATTTAGCATATATTTGTATGCTGCAGATCTATTTACAAAGTTATCAGTGGTGTGTAGTTATGAATATTGAGTAGAATGGTTAGCATTAAGCCAGTGACTTAATCCTCTATGTTTGACCCACACATTGTATTACATGATATATTGGTCTAATATTAATTGATCAGTACGTGTTTTTTTGTTGTTGTCTTTAGTCATTTGTCTAGCATCCTGTTATTAGTTCCCCTTGCCAACACACTGACTGAAGTATTTTGTTATGGTGTTTTTTTTATCTGAAGGTGTCATTGAGAAGTTGCATGAAGCTGCTTACAAAAACGCTCTATCCAACTCCCTGTACTGTCCTGACTACATGGTTGGCAAAGTCAGTGGTGAACAGGTAAGACTGTGTTAATAGCCGCGTTAATAGCTGTTAATCACTACGTTCATCGCTGTGTTAATAGCTGTGTTAATACCTGTGTTAGTATGGCAGTATTGTTCACTATAGTGCTACTTTGTGTTTGTCACAGCATAGCTCTTTCTTAAACTCTCTCCTACTTCCTTATCCCCCTTAGCTGCAGTCCTTTGTCCAGAACAATTTCACCAGTGCCAGAATGGCTCTAGTAGGACTAGGTGAGTGTGTCTGTCTGGTAGTCTTTTCGATCCAGTGGCACCCTGGGTTCTCCTTTCTTCTTTCTATGTCTTGCAGCTCCTTCAGCATGGCTCCAGGGCTGTTCTGATTCCTTGCCCTACCTTTTCCCTGAAGTGTGCAGCCCCTCGTGGATTGAAAAGGAATAGAGTAATGCCAGGAATATGGTGGAAACTCACTCTAGCCAATTTATTACTTTTAAATCCTTGAGGGGATATTGAGCAAGTGCACACTTCAGGAAGAAGGGTAGTGAATCGGAACAACCCTATTGATTGGGTCACTATAAGGGTCATATCCTTTGAATTAGACCGATGTAAACACTCTCTCCCTCTGTGTGAGTGCTTGCGTACTGTGTACACATCACATTTCCTTTGGCCTCTGTCCAAACCCTAGAGTTAAAGGCTGTCTAAAGATATGTGGAGTTAGAGGTCAGCTGTTCTGCTCTAGTATGACGCTGTGTGTGTGTGTGTGTGTGTGTGTGTGTGTGTGTGACATGACTGCTCTCTGGTATGTACTAGTGATAGGAAATAAATAGATAGTTACATATCGAGATATTATTTTTGACGATGTATCGTTTTGACAATATCGCAATATTATTTTTGCGCTAGTTGGCTGTACCTGCCCCAAAACTCCAGTATTTTTCCTTCAGAGCTTGTTCTCCATCTTCTTTTTAAAAAGGGAGCCAATTTGTTTTCAGCACTTACACTACATGGCCAAAAGTATGTGGACACCTACCCATCGAACATCTCATTCCAAAATCATGGGCATTAATATGGAGTTGGTCCCCCCTTTGCTGCTATAACAGCCTCCACTCTTCTGGGAAGGCTTTCCACTAGATGTTGGAACATTGCTGCGGAGACTTGCTTCCATTCAGCCACGAGCATTAGTGAGGTCGGGCACTGATGTAGGGCGATTAGGCCTGACTCGCAGTCGGCGTTCCAAGTCATCCCAAAGGTGTTCGATGGGGTTGAGGTCAGGGCTCTGTGCAGGTCAGTCAAGTTCTTCCACACCGATATCGACAAACCATTTCTGTATGGACCTCGCTTTGTGCACGGGGGCATTGTCATGCTTAAAAAGGAAAGGGCCTTCCCCAAACTGTTGCCACAAAGTTGGAAGTACAGAGTCGTCTAGAATGTCATTGTATGCTGTAGCGTTAAGATTTTCCTTCACTGGAATTAAGGGGCCTAGCCCGAACCATGAAAAACAGCCCCAGACCATTATTCCTCCTCCACCAAACTTTACAGTTGGCACTATGCATTGGGGCAGGTAGCGTTCTCCTGGCATCCGCTAAACCCAGATTCGTCCTTTGGGCTGCCAGATGGTGAAGCGTGATTCATCACTCCAGAGAACACGTTTCCATTTCTCCAGAGTCCAATGGCGGCGAGCTTTACACCACTCCAGCCGACGCTTCGCATTGCGCATGGTGAACTTAAGCTTGTGTGCGGCTGGTCGGCCATGGAAACCCATTTCATCAAGCTCCTGGCGAACAGTTATTGTGCTGATGTTGCTTCCAGAGGCAGTTTGGAACTCGGTAGTGAGTGTTGCAACCGAGAACAGATTATTTTTACGCGCTATGCGCTTCAGCACACGGCGGTCCCGTTCTGTGAGCTTGTGTGGCCTATCACTTCGTGGCTGAGCTGATGTTGCTCCTAGACGTTTCCACTTCACAATAACAGCACTTACAGTTGATCGGGGCAGCTCTAGCAGGGCAGAAATTTGACAAACTGGCTTGTTGGAAAGGTGGCCTCCTATAACGGTGCCACGTTGAAAGTCACTGAGCTCTTCAGTAAGGCCATTCTACTGCCAATGTTTGTCTATGGAGATTGCATGGCAGTGTGCTCGATTTTATACACCTGTCAGCAATGGGTGTGGTTGAAATAGCCAAATCCACTAATTTGAAGGGGTGTCCACATACCTTTGGAGTGTATTTCCCTTACTGATCAAAACTGATTTTCTCATGGTTCTCTCTTGTCCTTCTGCAGCAGACATATGGTGAGCAATATATATATCGAATCGCAATAAAATCACAGTATCGAATCGCAATACATATAGAATGGCACTAGATATCGCATCGGCACCTAAGTATGGTGATAATATCGTGAGGTCCCTGGCAATTCCCGGCCCTAGTATGTACCCCTGTGTGAAACACTGAACTGAGGGCATGTGATGACAGTCTACCTGTGTGTGTCTCTTGCTGGCTCTCTGGTGTGTGTGTTGCAGTGACATGGCCCCTGTTTGTGCTGTCTCTCCCCAGGTGTGAATCACTCTGTGCTGAGGCAGGTAGGAGAGCAGTTCCTCAGTGTCCGCAGTGGGGCTGGAGTCACTGGGGCCAAGGCTGTATACCGCGGAGGTAAGACCCATAGAGAGCCTTAGATGCAATGCACGCCTAACTGCTGAGCTCTAGTCTGGGCCACGGATTCAGTCAACCCCAGTGTGTGAGCTAGGATGGGTGTGTGCGTGCCCTGATGGTGGTTAACCGTGTGTGACTGTGTCCCTTCAGGTGAGCTGCGGGTGCAGAACGGGGCCGGTCTGGTCCACTCGTTGATCGCCAGCGAGGGCGGTGTGACTGGATCAGCGGAGGCCAATGCCTTTAGTGTGCTGCAAAGGGTTCTGGGAGCCGGGCCACACGTAAAGAGAGGCTCCAATGTCACCAGCAAACTGAGCCAGGGCATCGCCAAGGCAACCACACAGCCCTTCGATGTGAGTAACTTCCCTGTTTGTTGCTACAGTTATGCCTGTGTTGTTGGTTGTGGTCACTACAATAGAAATCGATATTCTACATAGCTGAAATTCTACATAACTGAGTTTTCATTGTATGATTGTCTAAATTACACACAGATATCTGGTAAGACAGAGAAAAATAAAAGGTTTAGAGGTTAGAAAGGACAATGATCTTGGACTATCTTGTGTACAGAAGTTACTCTAATGCTTCTTTCTCTGTCTCCTATGCAGGCCACAGCCTTCAATGCCACATACGCTGACTCCGGACTCTTTGGAGTCTACTCCATCGCCCAAGCCGACTCTGCAGGAGAGGTGAATACACTATAATGCAGTAGTAACATAAGGACGTGTTAGTACCTGATATATGTTGATAAGTGACTGTCCCTAACAGTGACTGTCCCTCTCTGTACAGGTGATCAAAGCTGCCATCGGCCAGGTGACAGGGGTTGCGAAGGGAGGCGTGTCCGAGGATGATGTCACCAGAGCAAAGTGAGTTCACCAGACAATATGGCTCATTAGGTGGACCATGAAACTTGGCGCTATCTCTCTGGTTTTATTTATTTTTATTTAACCTTAAACCAAGCAAGTCAATTAATAACAAATTATTATTTACATTGATGGCCTATAATAACTTATTGCCCTGATTTGACCTTTGACCCTGTCCCCGTCATACCTGGTAGGAACCAGTTGAAAGCCGAGTACCTGATGTCCATGGAGAGTTCTGAGGTCCTGCTGGAGGAGATGGGGGCCCAGGCCCTGTCCAGCGGAGCCTACCACTCACCAGAGACCGTTACCCAGAGCATCGACTCTGTCAGCCACGCTGATGTCGTCAATGTGAGTACACTTCAACATTGACCATCATGGCTAAGACATAAGAAACATAAATATATCTATTCACATTCAATATACACCGAGTGTATAAAACATTAGGAACACCTTCCCTTTTGCCCCCAGAACAGCCTAAATTCATCAGGGTATGGACTCTACAAGGTGTTAAAAGATGTCCTTTGGGTGGTGGACCATTCCTGACACACGGGAAACTGTAGAGCATGAAAAGAACAGCAGCGTTGCAGTTCTTGACACACTCAAACCGGTGCGCCTGGCACCTACTGTATTAACATACCCCGTTCAAAGGCACTTAAATATTTTGTCTTGCCCATTCACCCTCTGAATGGCACACATGCACAATCCATGAGACCCATGGGGCGGCGCACAATTGGCCCAGCGTCGTCCAGGGTAGGGGTGGGAATGGCCAGTAGGGATGTAGCTCAGTTGGTAGAGCATGGTGTTTGCAACGCCAGGGTTGTGGGTTCGATTCCCACGGGGGGGTATGAAAAATAAAAAAATAAACTAACTGTAAGTCGCTCTGGATAAGAGCGTCTGCTAAATGACTAAAATGTAATGTAAAATGTAATTGTCTCAAGGCTTAAAAAAAGAAAGGGGAAAAAATCTATATAGAATAACATTTTTGAAGACTGATTTCTGTGTGCCTCCTACATTTAGGTTTATTTATAGCAGGTGAGCTGGGGACAGAGAGGAGGAATATGGGACAAGGTGATAAGTGTATTATTTTGTTTTTCCAGGCTGCGAAAAAGTTTGTGGACGGCAAGAAATCGATGGCAGCTAGCGGACACCTCGCCAACACACCCTTCGTGGATGAATTGTGAAAAGAAACAAACCATAAACAATGAAACAGTTATTTAACATTTTAACCTGGGCAGGTTGTGCCTGGCTGCTTACTCCAGAAAAAGGAACCTGGTTCTGATATGAAGCCCATGACTTCTTCTCACAGCAAACGATAATCCTTTGTTGTTACAAATCATGTTAAAGTTAGTTCTGCAATAAGTGTACACAGTCTGCAGGAATAATTATGCATTTTTTTTTGTCAATTTCACTGTATATCTGTTGTAAATTCATTAAATGGTCTATCTACAGTAATGGCAGTCTCTGATTTGATCACCAAGGTGAATGAGAATTGAATATATCGTTGATGTTATTCTGCCCAGCTCCTGCAGGGGGGGACGAAGAGCTGTGAAAATCAGTTAGAGCTGCTACATCGGCAAAAATGTTGCATCTAGTGTAGCAGCCAGGTATGTTAGAATGAGGGGAAATTGTGGGGTATTGTTTTTTATACTGAACAAAAATATAAACGCAACATGTAAAGTGTTGGTCCCATGTTTCATGAGCTGAAATAAAAGATCCCAGAAATGTTCCATATGCACAAAAAGCTTATTTCTCTCAAATGTTATGCACAAATTTGTTTACATCCCTGTTAGTGAACATTTCACATTTGCCAAGATAATTCATCCACCTGAAAGGTATGGCATATCAAGAAGCTGATTAAACAGCATGATCATTACACAGGTGCACCTTGTGCTGGGGACAATAAAAGGCCGCTCTGAAATGTGCAGTTTTGTCACACAACACAATGCCACAAATTGGGGGAGGGGGCTGAGGAGTATTTATGTCTGGAATAAAGCCCTTTTCTGGGGAAATACTCATTCTGATTGGCTGGGCCTGGCTCCCAAGTCGGTGGGCCTATGCCCTCCCAGGCCCACCCATGGCTGAGCTCATTGCCCAGTCATGTGAAATCCATAAACTAAGGCCTAATGTATTTATTTCAATTGACTGATTTCCTTCTATGAACTGTAACTAAATCAAATCTTTAAAATTGTTGCATGTTGCGTTTATATTTTTGTTCAGTATATTATGCAGAAGTGATCGATCTGGAGTTTGGTCAAACATGTTATCAAAAATATGGCACAGCAAAAGCAGCCAGGAAGAATAACAGCAATGGCTAGAGAGAGAGAGGGGAAAAAAAGGCCTTGATGACTAAACATTACAAATCAACACAGATAACAACTGGATGTCAGTGACTCATCTTTTCAAGGAACGTAGTGAGAGAACAATAATAGCTACATATCCATGTGGTTCTATTTAGGTTCAAAATGTATTGCCCATTGGACATGGTGGAGTGGTGCTGGAGTCAGTGATTGACTGACTGTGTGGTAACAGGGAAATTAACTAATATACCTCCTGTGCCATAAATGCCATGAAGGCTATAGTGTACTTATATCAGTGGTGCCCAAATGTGGGGACCCCTGAGAAAATCTAATCTTATCAATCAAATTAATAACAGTTTTCTCTTCAAATGGGTATAGATTGTATTTTATTTTGTTAGGATCTCTTTTAGTCCTCATTTGGACTAATCTTCCAAGAGTCCTTAAACATTAATACATTAATAGATTTCACATTGAATTCACGTTAGTTGACAACTCAACCAAATGTACATCAAAACTAGACGTTAAACTGATGTCTGTGCCCAGTGTGAAGACTCACATTGCTGAGACTGCTGTGTTGAGTGGGTGGGTGGTTACTTTCTGCTGATTGCTTTGCTGCTCTAATGGAAATAGTGGAAAGCGCTGACCAGCAAAGTACTGCTACCTGGCACACTCCCTTGTTAGATCAGAGGATTTGCTTTGACCATGAAACTACAGCATGTGTCTGTGAGAATGAACTAAGGCATCTACAAATGCCTTTGTTGGCAAAAATATGTCACCAAAAGGTCATCATACAAACATTTCAGATTGTAGTTTTTTTCACCCCCATCACTCCTATCTTGGGGACCACTTTTATCTGGTAGAATGGACACTTATTCTAACATGGGATAAGGAGCCTTTGAGTGTTCAAAGGAAAGGCGTTACTTCTTCCTCTGATGAGAATAATAAACGGTTTCATAAACGTCATGTCCTTCTAGATGATTGGTCTCATCTACCTCCTCTGCATGGTCCCATCTGGCTGAAACGTCCCTCACACCCAACGATCTCGCGAGACGAGAGCGGATGCCCCCTGAAAGTGTGTGTGAGTGGGCTGTTGTGTCTGTGGAACGCACTGCGTGAGGGACAGTGTTCGCTTGATATGGGGCAGAGCTAACGTTAGTGGGCTAACCGGGGAAAGTATAACCACAACCTTTCCTTCACTGTTCGGAGCGGCTTTATTAATATCGTATTTCCATATAAACATTCGGCGAAAGCCGCCGAACGTGCTCGAGCTGCCTTGGTTCCTACTTAACTATGTCGGCGCCAGAGCTTGCTAGCTAGCGGACTCTTTACAGATGCTACTCCACCAGCGTAGAAGAAGGCGGCATGAATAAGCAAGAGGGAGGATGGGTTCTCGTTTTCCTGACGGCTAGCTAACCTTAGAGCTTCGCTGAAAACAAGGACATATTGAAGGCACAGCATTCTTAGATTATTTAGCACCTCTGTCTGGGGGAGTTTTGTTCGTAAAATGGTTTAAAGTACTTCTTCAAATGGGGGTTCGGCCGTCAAGCACCCTCTCTGGGTTGTTGTTCGGCACACGGAGTCAGAATGTGGGAAATAGCTAGCTAGGTGGCTAGCTATCCTGCTAGTCGCAATAACCAAATGCTGCTGCTGCTACGGTGCGGATCCGAGCGAGAACACAAGCGGCTGGAGACTTGGGCCCTGACGTTGCCCGAGCTCCTCTTGCTTTATCGGAGGAAGATTCGGGGCGAAAAGATTGTCGTTTGAGATGTGATTTTTTTTCTTCCGTTTTTAGCCATATGTAAGCCGAATGAAGGTTTGTTGATTTGCTGTTGCTGCGATGTCCAAAGGAATAATGACCGGCTGAACCTCCAAACCAGTTGAGTCTCATTTGAAGGGGGTGAGGTGGACTGATAACTAACGTAAACGGATATCTAAAAACTGTATCTCTGAGGATTAAACTCCTTGGTCTTACCTGGAACTCTAAGCCACGTCTTTCATATCTACTAATTTAAAGCACCCAGACATTAGCTGCAAATATGGATAAATTAACAATAATATCAGGATGTCTGTTTCTGGCAGCGGATATCTTTGCCATCGCAAGTATTGCAAACCCCGACTGGATCAACACAGGCGAATCTGCAGGTAATTGGGGAATTATTTAACTCTTATATTTGACATTGACCACTGTATTTTCATTTTAATGTTACAGCATTACGGATGTAATGATTCCCCTTTGCAGATTGTAGGGCTATACGTTATATATTAATTGAAGCCTTTACCTGCTGCTGCATTCATAATCCACAGAACAGAGATCCACCCTCTAGCAATGTTTACATATCCGCAGAGGGATCTTTTGCCCTATGCAACTCTGTCGTTTGTTCTATGTTCCTCTGTGATTTGAAACACTGGGCTACTAATCCAAAATAGTGATGCATAATAAACATCATTTATATATCACATGTAGATATGATTTTAGGCCTATATAATATTTTATTGCTGATATATTGGGGGGACACAGAGAAATTATTTGATATATGTTCTATTCTCTACTACACTCGTTTACGTAAGGGTAGTGTTGTAATTATTCATATTTGCACTACTCAAGAAGCACTACTCAGTAATTTCTTGGCCGCAGTTGTTTAGTTAGAAGATTGATCTGTCATCGGAGCAATTCACATTTTTGTAGTAGCTACATCAGTGACCACTTAATCAATCCTGTGGGTCAATCGACAGACTTGATCAACTGTAACAAGTGTTGAATACAGGCTTCCCGCTTGCCTACCAAATGCCAGTTGGTCTTTTTCTGTTGACAATCCTCAAAACAGATCCACATGCCATTGATAGGCTGATGCTCTTCTTTGTCCCCCCCCCCACGACAATGATGGCTTATAGTAAGAACTGGGTCAGGGAGGGTTCATCCACCAATGTGAAACCAGTGTAGCTTGTCAGCTGCTGCAGCAGAAGCAATTTGTTTGACTAAATGTTGCATTGCCCTATTTTCTAAGAAGAAAAGGGATGGATGTTTTCAAAACACTGTTTATCATGTGTGTTCACTGTCTTTATCTTTCAATCAGACAGTAAGCCTCAACTCAAATAAGCCTTCTATGACAATAACATTCATGTTTTGGCTTCAAAAACTACTTGGTGATATTGACACCCTTACTGGAAATGAATAGTAGCTAACTCATGTTAGACAGTAAATAACATTGTATGCCTACTCAGCAATGGCCTCAGTAACCTATTCCTGGTAGTAGGCTGTACCATCTGCCTCACTCCTGCTTTGTTGATAACGTTCACACCTGCAATTAGCCTACCACAGCAAAAGTGCTGGTAAGTGTAGGGTTGCATGCATTGCATACCACACATCATACAGTGTTTCCCATAGGATTTCTGTTCAGCACTGGTGGCAAGGGTAGTGTTAGGGTAATGACATGCAAGCTGTTCCCATAGTCTTCCAGTCATTTAGCCAACGACTATCCATTTAAAAGCGAGTCTCAGCAGTGGGGAGACCAAGTATTTGATACACTGCCGATTTTGCAGGTTTTCCTACTTACAAAGCATGTAGAGGTCTGTAATTTTTATCATAGGTACAGTTCAACTGTGAGAGACGGAATCTAAAACAAAAATCCAGAAAATCACATTGTATGATTTTTAAGTAATTAATTTGCATTTTATTGCATGACATAAGTATTTGATACATCAGAAAAGCAGAACTTAATATTTGGTACAGAAACCTTTGTTTGCAATTACAGAGATCATACGTTTCCTGTAGGTCTTGACCAGGTTTGCACACACTGCAGCAGGGATTTTGGCCCACTCCTCCATACAGACCTTCCCCAGATCCTTCAGGTTTCGGGGCTGTCGCTGGGCAATACGGACTTTCAGCTCCCTCCAAAGATTTTCTATTGGGTTCAGGTCTGGAGACTGGCTAGGCCACTCCAGGACCTTGAGATGCTTCTTACGGAGCCACTCCTTAGTTGCCCTGGCTGTGTGTTTCAGGTCGTTGTCATGCTGGAAGACCCAGCCACGACCCATCTTCAATGCTCTTACTGAGGGAAGGAGGTTGTTGGCCAAGATCTCGCGATACATGGCCCCATCCATCCTCCCCTCAATACGGTGCAGTCGTCCTGTCCCCTTTGCAGAAAAGCATCCCCAAAGAATGATGTTTCCACCTCCATGCTTCACGGTTGGGATGGTGTTCTTGGGGTTGTACTCATCCTTCTTCTTCCTCCAAACACGGCGAGTGGAGTTTAGACCAAAAAGCTCTATTTTTGTCTCATCAGACCACATGACCTTCTCCCATTCCTCCTCTGGATCATCCAGATGGTCATTGGCAAACTTCAGACGGGCCTGGACATGCGCTGGCTTGAGCAGGGGGACCTTGCGTGCGCTGCAGGATTTTAATCCATGAC